TGGGCCGTTTGTGTCATAAACACTCAGTGGAAAGATGGTCTCCAGGAGAAAACTGAGCATGCACACAGAGCAAGGGTAGGAGTTACCCAAGAAAGGGACCCAGGACAGCCCCAAGAGGCCTGGCAGCACGTCACACAGCATCTCCAGTCCCAAGACCGTGGCTCTGCTCTCGCCTGAGTCATTTTACTCACCCTCTTTGACAGTGGTTTTCCCACAGCACCCTGAGCTCAACCTAATCTGAGACTGGGGCATGGTCTAGAATGTGAGTGAAATGTTTGGAAAGATAACTTTACGTTATTTTAAAGGGCAAATAAAAAAAGTAAATCGGCTAAGTGTAACACAGTTCCAAAAAAAGATATTTATTTGTTTGTTTGTTTGTTGGTATGGCTGTATGCCCGACTGAGTTTACCAACTACATGCAGTGCCTGTAGAGACCAGGAGAGGGAGTCAGAGCCTCTAGAACTAGAGTGACAGGCAGTTGTGAGTTGACAGGTGCGCACGCAGGAATTGAACCCAGTCCTCTGAAAAACAGTAACTTTTTTCCCCCCCACACGACAGAGTTTCTCTGCATAGCCCCGCCTGTCCAGGAACTTGTTCTGTAGACCAGGCTAGCCTCAAACTTAGAGATCCTCCTTCCTCTGCCTCCCAAGTGGTAAGGTTAAAGGCAACAGCTGCACCTTAAGGAGATGGTTGGAGGCCCTGTATAAGAAGTTGCAGGTCTGGGAACTGCAGAGATGCTCATTGGTTAAGCACACAGGCTGCTCTTGCCAAGGACCCAGGTTTCCAGCACCCACATGGCAGCTTATAACTAGCTGTACCTTCAGTTCCAGGGGTTGCCGTGTCCTCCAAAGGCGTGGGCATATACTCAAGCAAAACACCCATTTACACAAAGTAAAATAACCAGTGATTAAAAAAAAAAAAGAAGTTCCAGGTCATAGCCTGCATGGCTTTTGCAGTGGAATTGTTCTGGAATCACTCAGAATGACTAAGAGAGCTGTTTTCCATGCTGAGAGGCTAACCCACCCTAATGCCATTCTCCTCACATCTCAGATTCCCTGCCCTACCACCAACTAACCCAGATATGTGACTTAAATAGGTCAAAGGGGAAAGAAATAAACCAACACTCATTTGGAAAATGCTGCAAATTACGTCTTAAGTAAACCACAGAACTCAGAGCACCGGGAGACGGTGGTCAGAAAATAAACATATTTTAAGACAAAAGAGCATGAATATATGAAACACACATGCTAGGGTATGTGTGTATGTAAATATGTGTGCAAGTGCGTGTAAGTGTGCGCAAGAATGGAGGCCAAAGGTAAACCTTGGGTATTGTTCCTCAGAAACCATCCGTGTTGGTGTGCTTGCGTGCATGCGTGCATGCATGCATGCGTGTGTGTGTGTGTGTGTGTGTGTGTGTGTGTGTGCTGTTCCAGTGTGACATTCTTGTTTGTGTGAGTGTGAACACTTGTGTGTGTGGCCTCTCCCTTAAGTAAAGACTTGTTGATTCAGGTAGGGTGGTTGGCTCCAGTGCTGGGGTTAGAGGCACATGCCACCGTGCCCAGCTTTTCACATTGGTACTTAGGAATCTAACTTGCCTTAGTGCTGTGTCGCAGGCACTTTGCCAAGTGAGCTTGGGACCTACCCTTGAGGCAGGGTCTCACAATTCATCTGAAACTCCTGTGAGGCTGGCCAGCCAGTGAGGTCCCAGGTTCCACTTCCCTCTGTTTGGGATTAAAAGCACATGGCGTGATACACAGGCTGTGTGTGTGTGTGTGTGTGTGTGTGTGTGTGTGTGTGTGTGTGTGTGTGGTTGTTTAAGTTTGTTTTGATTTTGCTTTATGTGAGATGAAACTCAAATCCCAGCAAGCACTCTACTGAGCTCCCCCCCCCCCAGACTAGTGTGTGTTACTTTTCAATTAGGACTTTAACCCTTGGTAGCCCAGACTTTCCCCCCCAAAGACCACAAGATCATAAAGTTTTCAGGCCTCACACCCTGTTTGAGGGCTCTGCCCTAGTCTACCGCTGCTTGTTTTCCTCTTCTACATCGTTTACAGCACTTCAGGTGTGTACAAACCACTGTGGGTTTCCAGGCCACACACAGCAGGGTGGGCATCGAGCCCAGGGGTCCTCATCCTTGGCTGTGTTCAAACTTCCCCCACTCATGGTTGGATTCCTCTAAAATTCCTTGAGCCAGTTTTCTTTCCCTGTAACCTCTTGCGTATCTGCTCTGACATCTGATTTGACAAGCATTCCCTTTTGCTGCTGGCTTCTGGGGAGTAAAGTTTTCTCTCTGTAGGCAAAAGCATCTCATGGAAATCATTGCAATATGGTCTCGGGTCTTCAATGTCACCTTGCTGTCAATGGCCTTTCTAAAGAGTCACAGCCAGAATTTGCAGTTCTGTAAATTCAAAATGACCACCACAGATCTATTCGATACGTTCTGTAATTTATTCGGAATGGAATGTCACTGGTAGCACTGCTCAGAATGGCTCATTTTGGGTGTGTACTTGACTGGATCAAGGACTGCCTAGCGAACCAATGACATGCTGGAGAGATTGTCTGCAGTGCTGTTCCCCATGGAAGCTGGCATGTTACTCGGTGGACTGATGGAGAGAGCAACCCTCGGTGTGGGTGGGCATCTTACAGTCAGCTGGGGCCTCTGGGAAAACTGAGGCAGAGGAAACACAGCATGCTCTCATTCTCCTGGAGCCATGCCCCTTCTGCAAAGAGAGCTCTGGGGCCACTAGCTCTGGATGCCACTGGCCAAGCCAGGTTCTCAAGCCTTTGGTCTTGGCCTGACAGTAACACTCTTGATATTCCAGGCTCTCCAGTTTTCAGACAGTCTGTTGTGGGACTTGTCTTCCATAACTATGTGAGCTATCTATCTATCATCTATTTATTGTCTATCTGTCATCTCTCTACCTACATATCATATATCTACCTATCACCTATCTATCTATCTATCTATCTATCTATCTATCATCTATCTATTCCTCTATCATCTACCTACCTACCTACCAATCTATCTGCCATCTAGTATCTTTCTATCATATCTACTTATCCTCCCTTTTAAAAAATTTATGTGTGTGTGTATATAAGTTCACATGTGTACAGGTCCCCATGGAGGCCAGGAGAGGGTATCGGAGACCCTGGATCTGGAGTTATAGGAGGCTGTGAACCATCATACGTGGATGCTGGGAACAAAACCTCAGTCCTCTGCAAGACCATCAAGTGCTCGCAACTGCTGAGCCATCTCTCCAGCACCTCTGCCTGTGCCTGTCTCTCTGTCCGTCTGTCCGTCCATCCATTTGTCTGTCTTATTGGCTATATCACCCTGGGAATCACTCTTGATTTTCTGCCTACGCGTCAGTCTCTGGTTCTCGAGTCGCTAGCCTTCTACTGAGAGCAGAGACAGATGCCAGATCACAGCCCCCATACTTTCTGGAAATGGTTTTTGGGTTACTTTCAATCTAGCACCATGAAGCGTATTTGGATGCTGGCCAGTGTGGAGACTAAGACATCTTCTACAACAACCTCCCTATTATGTTTGAGAGCCTCCCAAAACTACTTAAAGATTCCTATGTGGTTAGCAAACTCAATTTGGATAAACATATGATTTGTCTCTCTAAAGTAGGTGTGTATGGCCTTTGGACACTGCAGTGTGATTTTTGTCTCAAGTTCACATTTGAGAACTGTACACCAGACCTTCAGAAAACGCCAAAACTTTCACAGTGTAATATCTTAATTCACACTTTTTTTTTTTTTTTTGGGTTGGGCCCCAATCATAGCTCTTTGGCAACATACATCCCAGGGGCTGCAGGCTGCTTTGAGACGTTCTAGCATTTTCCTCGCTGTTGCCCCAATGCAGTTGTGGACTGTCAGGCAGGTACCTGACATCACAAGCTGGTCTCAAAGTTGCAAAAAGGCAGCTGTGGCCTCGTAGGTTTTACCTTCAGAGCTGCCAGCTACGGGAGGGTTTTACCTCAGCTCAGTGCAGGGTCTGTAAACCTCCAGCCCTGCACTTCTGCAGGGTGTCCGGAACGGCCCCCCCACCCAGCAACACTTTCCTCCAGCTCGTCTGCTCTGATGCAAGAAGACAAGCCCTTCACCCACAGGGCTACCCCAGGCACACAGGAAGGACAGCCACGTTTACACAGTGGGAACAAAGGGTCCAAATGAGTCCTCTGTGCCACAGTCCACGAAGATGCTTCCATTTCAGGAACAGATGTAGAGACCAAAAGAAAGGAAGATAGAAGGACTTTTAAAGACATGGCTTTAAAACCATGTTGAACCTAAAGTGTCCACTCATATGGAAACATGTTACATAAAGAGGCTGGAGAGAAAGGACCCAGTCAGGAAAGCACTCACTGTGTAGGCATGGGGACCTGAGTTCAATACCCAGCACCCCCCAACACACACACACACACACACACACACACACACACACCCCACACACCTGGTATGGTAGCACATCCTTGCAGTCCTATTATGGGGGGTGGAGTGGGGGGTGTTATGAGTCAGGGATAACAGATTCCTAGGGCTCACTGGCCAGCTCAGCTCTCAGCGAGAAACCTTGTCTCATCAAACAAGAGGGATAGCTCCTGGGAGATGATGTCTGAGCCGATCCCTGGCTTCTGCATACACACAAATATGCACACAAGCCCCCCCAACACATACACACACACACACACACACACACACACACACACACACACACAGAGAGAGAGACACAGAGAGAGAGAGACACTTTGGAAAAGGCAATGAAGTCATCTACTCCATGATTATTCAAAGCCTGCAGGAGGTACTTGGGTTGCTAGTATCGGTGTTTATCATCAACATCTCCATCATGGCCTGAGTCTAGCAGCACCTACTAGAAGTATGCATACCTTTTCACAGAATCCATATTCTGCAGAGAACCTACCCCCTGGACACCTCAAAAGATATTAACCAACAGAACCTTTGTCCACGAAGTCCTCACACATTCATGTAAAGAACAAATAGAAATTTAGCAAGTTTAATCGATATTCTTGATGAGTGTAGGTATGTATATGCATATATACACACACACATATATATATATCAAAATTGAGAATTTACAAATAAGATTTGGTGCATTTAGCCCAGTGGTGGATAAGTCTTTCATATAAATCTCAAAGAGAGTGTGTTTCCAATTCTTCTTCACACGAACAGGCGTGAGGCTTAAACTCAGCTGATTGGAAGTCAAGGAAAGCAGAAAGCATTCTGTGGGGGAAGGACAGCATGCCGGTGCTATTCCCTGGAGATCCGGGAGTGCCCGAATTTTGTGCCGGAAGAGCCTGGAAGTCACACCGGATCTGCTGCTAGGTTGAGGTCTCTGGAATGTGCGATTACAAATGAAGTTTCAGCAGAACTGAATTCTATTTATAGTCCAGACCAAGAAATGTGGCCAAATTCCAACCGAAGAGGACCAAATGCCCGTGTCTACCCTGTGGCCTTCTGACACCCTGGGGCCGCAGGCTTGGAACACTGTCTTCCTCTTGTCCGCAGTCCCTAGTGCAAGTTAGTCAAGCCGGCCGGGAGGGTGGGCTGGCACGAGCCGATCCCGCGTTCACCACTTTCCTGGGATGGAGACGCCACACTCATACCAGCCCACATAGTAGTAGGGGGTTCCAAACCCAATGCTGCCGAAGCTGACGGGCTCCTGGCGGTACTGGCGATAGTATCCTGGAAAGGCAATGGAAAAGAAAGGGAAAAAAGATGGGTCAAAGTCACAGACAGGGAGACATCTCACCCTACACTCTGCTTTCAGACAGGATGCTCTGGCGAGCATTTCCTGTTTGAGAATACACTGGGCCAGTTTTATGTGTCATGGTCATAATAATAATAGGTCTCACCCAAGCGGGTTTCATGGGGCTTAATCCAGTTCTCCCTCATTCACCACAAAAGAATGTGATTTTAGCCAATCACTAGCGAGCACTCATGGAGGAGTGCACCCCAATCTGGGGAAACTGCACACCCATCTTGTTCTCTGCATTCAGAGCTTCCACCTTCCCAGAGTTGCGCAGCTCCAACATTTAAGCTTCAGAACCTAGAGAAGACTTCTCTGGAAAGACAGATCTGCACAATGGCAACTTCTTGATGTAGAAGGATGCTTGGGGAGACTTGATTGCTCTCGCATTTAGTCTTATTTATTTTATTCTCATCAAACGATGACTAGCTGCCACTCGACCAGTGAGCACATGGCTAACCAGTCATGGGCAGTACCACAACCTTGGCAGACAGACAAAGAGGAACACAGGTAACACGGGACTATAGTAGAAGCTATGGCACTGTAAGATCTAAAAAAGACATGGATCGTGTAGATGTTGTACATTTATTGGGATGAACCGAGCTGGCTTACATATTTGACCCAATGGTGATCTAGACATTCCCACTGCAGTGCTGTTAGCTGAGGTTGCATTTGAAATCAGCATACTGAGTAGGTTATCTCTATAATGTGGCCCTACCCAGTTGGGAAAAAATACCAACCAAAATGACTACTATGTCCTCATAGAAAGACTAGAGAGGAAGTGGAGGGAACTGTGCCACAACAGCCTCAGCAAGACTTGAAGAACAGCACGAAATCTTCCCTGCATCTCAGTTGGGTTGAAAATCCTGCCCCACCCCCCAAATCTACAGTCTCCCGAAGCATTTCTCTGAAATACATCTAAATAGTAGATAAACACCACTGGTTCTTTATTCTAGATGAAAGATTCTAAATATGCATATTTTACTGCCTGCGTATCGATTTATTAGAAAACAGATTGTGTTATTATTTTTTGTCATCTTGACACAGCTAGGTCATCTAAGAGGAAAGAACTTCAATTGAGAAAGTTTTCCATCAGACTGGCCCATGCATAAGCCCGTGGGGCGTTTCCTTTATTAATGACTGGTGTGGGAGGACCCTCATGATAGAAGGTGCTACTCCTGGACAGGTGGTCCTGGGTGTGTAAGAAAGCGAGCTGAGCAAGCCAACATGGCCTCTGTGTCCTTTCTGGCCTCCGGGTTCCTGCCCTGCTTGGGTTCCTGCCTCGGCTTCCCTCAATGACAGCCTATGATCAGGATGTCTAAGCCAAACAAACCCTTTCATCTCCACATTGCTTTTGGTCACGGTGTTTTATCACAGCAATAGAAACTAGATCATGGCACTCATGTAAAGTACACACATATTTTTCCCCACAAATAAGAGACTTGATAGATCAACACATGTCCTACCCTGAAGGTACCACAGCACCCAGAGCTGAGTGCATGATGGAAAGTTGCTGGACTACTTCCAGCTGCTGTTGGTTTGCACGGAAGGCTGGGCTCATCTGTGACATGCCGCAGCTAGCGGCTAGCTTTTGTGTTCCCACCTCCGTAAATCATCCTCAGAGAGCTGGCGCCTGGCCCTGAGGCCACTCCTGGTGAGTGTCCTGGTTAGTCTTCGCTCAGGCTGGGTCCTCTGGAAAGACTCCACTGTGAACTGTTCATGTTCATCCATATTATAAGACCCAACTCATACTGCCTGTCCCGGACACCTTGAATTCATATGACCACAGAGAGCACAATCCCTTGACAAGAGAACAACTAGGTGGCATACTCTGTTGTTATTTACACAGCGCAGCGTCCACTGTTACTCGCCTTTCACACAGTTTTCTCTTCCTGGTGACAGAGTTTGTTTCTGAGAGCAGGGATGGGGTCTTATATTCCTCTGTACTCCCAGCTTCTTGAGGACAGCAAATGGTGGAAGTACTTTCATCCCTCAGATCCTTACTTCTACCCTTTATGATCCAAAGTGCGCCCAACATTAATCTCTAAAGTTTAGGTCAAAGGCAGAGAGCCAGCATACATTTTTTCTCATTCTAACAATGTTCTTTTCCCACTCAACCAGAGCATAAGATAGCAGCTTTGTCTTCCTTACCTTGAATGGTGGGGAGGGCCTCTACATAAGCCTGCGGCCCTGTTCTTCCATCCAGGTGTGAATCCACAAACTGACAGTGGTCTTCTCCCCTGCCCCAGCTGTCGCCAATGCTGTAGAATGTGTCTGCATAAGGGCATACCACAGGTCAGTGAGTACTGGAGAGTGTCACAGCTGGCTTACAAACTAGAACAAGCTCTGGAAACCGGATTGGGAACATTATTTAAATCGCGTGTTCCATAGTTTCCGTGTCTGAAAAATGCTTGTAATGGCTCAAATGTCATTAAGTGTCGTAAGAAGCCAGCAAGATCTCGAACACTAAATACTTAACATATGTACAGTAGGGCACGGGGCGAGGGGTTTGGACAGTACGGGCAAGTGATGAACCTTTTAACCCTCAGCTTTCAAGAGAGAACGGAGAAAAACATGATAGAAATTAGAAGCCAGGCAGGTCTATATAATTAGAAGACACTATTTCCATGCCTTAGCTTAGGGCGTGAGGCGCTGTCCCTGGTGCTGACGCATAGCAATAATGTGTTTCCCACACTGGGACCCTGAAGATGACTGCACGATCTCTCCCAGAGATTTGAAGGGAGACAAAATGAGTGGGAGGGGTGGAAAGAGATGATTAGAGACATACAAGGATGGAGTGTGTGTGTGTGTGTGGGGGGGTGACTATCTAGTGACGAGATGAGGTAGATGATACTCCAGAGATGGAGGTGGGAGGGAAGACTTTGTTTTGACAAACTTATCCTTTCTGGCAAGAAAAATAAATAAATTAGAGACTAATCAGGCCATCCGATTTTAGATTTCACTCCTGAAATGCATTGGATGGGTATATATAAAGGTAGTAATTCCAAAGCAGAGTCTACAGTACTGGTTTGCACCCACAGTTCCGGGCCTCAGACACCCAATTTTCAAGTCAGTACCCAGCAGAAGTTTACCACAGCCACCCAGGCATCAGACCTACCTTTGAGGTTGTCACTGAGGTAGATCTTATACCTCAGTGAGTTACAAAGAACGACCCCCACGAACTTTTTATACCATGTCCGCTTCACATACTGCCGACCATGGCAGTCCGTGTAGCCAGGGTCATGCTTGAAGGCAAATGGGATCCAGATGGGCTCACCACCTTGACAACACAAGACACATGCTCTAAGATACAGTGGTTACAGTAGTTATTGTCTACACAAGCCAGCTGAAAACTTGGCGTCTCACTGGGACTTCCTTCCTCCCGGGACTTCTTTGAGCAAATGTGCATGCATTTGTATCACCTTTCTTTTTAAATACCAGAATAGGACTGAAGTATTATAGGTTTGATCTTAAAATGTCCCCCAAAGGCTCATGTGTTAGAGGCTTGGTCTGCTTCTTATGGGCTTGGAGAGATTATTGCATTAAAGAGGATTCTAGGGTCATCGTTGGTTAACCCACTGATAGACTCATGCCTGAGTGAAGGAGGGACCTGGGGAAGGAAACAGATAATTGGAGCATAGCTTGGAAGGGATTGCCCTGTTCCCTCCCATTTGCCTGCCTGCTGCAAGCAAAGAGCAGCTTTGGGGCCCACGTCCTTCCGCCATAACGTTATACCTCACCTTAGGCTCACCTAGGATCAGGGGAGCCAAGTGACTGCTCTGAAATCTCCAAAACTATAAACCAAGATAAACCCTTCCCCCTGGTTTTTTTCCCCAGGTTTTTGTCATGACATTTAAAAGCTAACTACTTCATTTGAAGGGCAGGATGCTTCTTACCCTAGAATATTTAAGATCTTGGTATTTCAACAAAGGGTTCTCAAAGCTAATGGAAGATGTAAGTCTCAAGGGAAAGCAACTGTATTAGCTTATTTGACCCTTGGGACATGCCACAGTACTCCACCTCCTTACGCCTAGAATCCTGCCCTTTTTGTTACTCTCTATTCCCATCTTGAACTCAAAACACAAGGCTTGTTCAGTTCATTGGTGTGTGTATGGGGGGGGGTTAAAATGCCCTTGTATACTTGCTGCGTTTTGCCATCTTTTTCATCACATTTAAATGCTCACAAACTATGTAAACAAAGTACCTATTGTATAGGTACCGGATTACCCCCCCCCATCATGGCTTTCCATAGATACAATAGCCATAGTCCTATTAAAGCATCTTCAAGTCATTGTCTTCCACACAAAGAGAATGGAGGGTGGATGATTCAGAGTTGTCAGAGAAAATCATGCAGATGTAAAATGCCACACCATTTCTTCTTGTGGACGGTCACAGTGACCACACGTATTACATTCAATCTACACCAGCCAGAGCATCGGAACCCTCAAGATGAGAAACTCACCTGGTGGCCTCACGACCAGCAGAGGGTTGTCTGTGGATGAAAAATAAACAGTTGGCTTTGTAACATACATTGCAGTTGTGAAAATGCTGAAATGCAGACAGCAATTAAAAGAGCTGACCAAGTTGGAATAGAGAGAAATTGTTAGTTTTCTCCTAAACTAGAGGGAAGGGCTGTGGGGGGGGGGGATGCTCATTTTACAAAGAGAAACCTGAACTCACCCAAACAGAAGACTTTTCTTGCCTTAATTTTCACTATGCCAATAGCTGTCATTCTAATCATTTATTTCACTTTTCAAAAAAAAGCAAAACAGGGACGAAGTCAACGCATACCTGATTCCGTAACAAACGAGACGGAAGGGCTGACAGGTCCATAGCCATGAGGGTTTTTGGCTTGAACTTTGAAGTAATACCTGAAATGGAAAGAAAAATGTCTTTCAAAAAAAGAGAAATTGATTTGATGTCTGAGTAATGAGACAGATTCCCAACCTCTCATGCATGCCTCTGTAGTAACTCTGGAGTCGTGTGTGTCTATTTACACACACACACACACACACACACACACACACACACAGTCATTCCAGAGTGCTTTCCCTGGAACATACAGTCAGGTACTAGGTAACTCTCCCAGTCCATCCTTTAAAAACCTAATTAAGACTCAGCATAAGCTCCAAGAGAGAGGAGCTGGTCCAACAAAACACGGAGTGACACTCAAATGTTAACTTAACATCTCAGCCTCCATGACTTGTGACTAGCAGGAAGGGGAGGCTAGGGGGTGGCCTTTTCAGTGGCACTAACAAGACAGCCATGCCTTGAGCTTCTGGACCTCCAGGAAAGAGAAGCATGTCCAGGAATGGGAGGCGGGGAAAACCTGAGGAGAGAGGCTTTACCACAGGGCCACACTTTGTCTGAGAACAGAGCATATTCTGAAAAGCAGGGTTTGCGTTGCCTCGCTCACCTTTGCCAATGCTCAAAGAAGAACCGTGGGTCAGCATGCCGTTTGGAACCACTGCTGCTAACTCATGTGATTTCCTCTGCCTGGGGTTCCACGAGCACAAGGCTATTGTAGGACTCGTGGGTGGTGGCTCTTGGAACCTTAGAAATAGTTTTCCTCTAGCTTTTGAGCAGAAGGAATGTCTCGCTGAGCTTTTTCAAAATCCTTTACCTGGCTAAGTTAGGTACCCAGACACGTGTGCTTATCAAAAGGTAAGATAAAGTTTTGGAGGGGGACTATTTACATTTGGGGGTACCACTGACTCCTGGTCACAAGTGATAGGTAGTGACATCACTAAGGTCACCTCTGGCCTCTCAGCAAGCAGAGACATTCTCCCGTGGTTTGACTAAAGAAGAGAAAGCCACTAGGTAAAATCATCCGCTTATTGATTTTTTTCATTTCAATTATTTTTTTAAAGATACGCACAGTTAATATGCAGTGTGTGTTTCCTGATTATTCACACTCTCAATCAGTAGCTGTGGAATAATTTAGGGCAAAACCCCAGAGGCAGTTCCAACGGGGGAAGAGAGGGTGTTGGCATACATCAATGGTTCAACTTTTGTTGCCAGTGGTTACGAGGCAAGCCCACGGAAGGCGTTGTCCGCCGTCTTGATGCCCACGGTTGCTGTGCTGTAGACACAAGCAGTCCTTGTTCATAGAGGAAAAGGATGCTGACTCTTTTCACCTGACTCTGTTACTTCTGTTTCCTCTGGTTAATCTTCACGCCTGCTCAACGCGTGGTTCCTTAGAAGAGCATGGCGCACTTCCTCCACTCCCTGACTTATGGCTTCCTTTCATTTGGCAGCTCCTGCAATTCATGACGTTTTGAGGGAGCTTGGTTGCAGTGAGCCCAAGTGGCATGTTGAAATGTCATAGGAAGTGCTCCCGGCTTTGGGGAAGTCTCTTGGTGGCAGGGCTTTGGCCAGAGTCACCCCGCCCGCGGTGCATGTTTGTGTGTCGGCTCATTTGCTTTCACTTTCTCTGCTCCTCTGCCTCTGGCAGAGCTTTGGGCTCTTCACTGCGAGCCTGCTGGCTCTACACAGCAGTGTGGTACTGTGGCTATCTGGACAACCAGCAGAAACCAGTCATGAGCTATCCAAGGACCCTGCAGGCCCACTGTGTGATTGGCCACAGTAGGAATGCCTGAACCACAGCCATTGAAAATGCTGTAAACCAAGGGGTCCCCCTCCCCCATGCCCAGCTACTCGGATGGTCAGCCTACCAGCACGCCACTGCCTGGCCAAGACATGCTCAGTGGCTCACTCATGTTCATCCACCGGGTTACTTTCTGATAGTTATGCCTCCCAAATCAGGTGATACAAACGCAATTGTTAAGTAACAACTGCAACACATGCAGTTATTTCTCTTAAGCAAAAATAAGGCACATGGCAAGCCTCCATTGGCATCCCATGAGATAAACCAAAGGACTCAAGGAAATGGTGAGGTTTTGTTGCCAACAGAATGATTCTGTGGCCGAGCATGCGGGTCCCGGGGTTTGTCTGTAAGTGACTGCCGAGTCATACCTCGTGTTTGGTTTCAGGTTCTCAATGGGCAGATGGGTCACTGATGAGGTCTGAGTTGACCACTTGTTCCTGATGAAGTCCTCGTAAGAGGCACTGTAGACCAAGTATCCTGGGAACAGGAAGAGGGGAGGCCATGGTGAGCATCAGGGAACCTGTCCTGGCTTGTTCCCCTGATGCTTCAATACACACCATGGCCAACAGCAACACCCACCTGCCTAGGAACTGTACCACCCACAGTGGACTGGGATCTCCCACATCAATAGTCAGTCAAGGAAATGACCCACAGCTGTCTCTATGGGCCAATCGGATAGAGGCAATGCCCCATTAGAGACGCTGGCAGAGCTTTCTGGGTTGGGTCAAGTTGACAGCTGAAGCTAACTAAGAGAGAGGCAGATCGCACAGAGTTATGATGGGGAGGCGGGCACACGTGCAGCTCTGTGAGACCCTCGAGGAGAGCAAGTTTCACTGTGAGACAGGACGGTAGAATTCAGTAACTTCTGGTGAATTCAGGCGGGGACCGAAAACGCAAGGGCTTTCTGACGCTTCATCCGTTCCCTTCTTCTACGCTTCTCCACACCCCCATTCCCTGGCCTCACTCAGGTCACCAGGGCTGGTCACATCTAATAAGGACTTCACAGAGAAGGAAGAGGTGGAACAGTGCACCAATTCCCTTTCTTAGCATTTACTAAGGCAGACTCAGACAAATGTTCTGTTCTCCCTATTAGGTGTAGAATATAGGTGGATAGATAGATGGATAGATGTGTGTGTCCATAGATAACGGTGATAATGGAAGCTGATAGATGATAGCTAGACAGACAGACAGACAGACAGACAGATTGATAGATATGATATATATGAAATGAAAGTAGCAGAAAGGGAGATTGAAGGGGGAGGGCACATGATACGCTGGAATGAAAATGCGATTCTGAAAACCAATACATACAACAAACACATAAATAAGAACCCAAAAGATAGTCAAAACCCAAGTTTCCTGGTGGAGACAGACAGTTGTTCTGTACATGAAATGAAGATGGCAACTGTTCGTCCAGGCATGCGGGTGTGACTGAAGGACTCACAGTGATCCTCACTCGTTTGTCACAACTCACCTATGACTTCTAGTTGCTGACCTTGACCTAGCTGTTTACGGACAACAGTTATATGAGGGATCTGAAGTCAAACAGCTTAAGATGACATTTGTGTGTGTGTGTGTGTATATATATATATATATCCTTTGTGTGCATCCATTTGCCAGTCATGGCATTGGGGGGATGGCTCAGAGGAAAGAACATTTGTCGTGCAAGGGCAAGGACTTGCATTCAAATTCTCAGGTGCACTTAAAGAGCTGAGTGTGGGAACATGCCTTCCCATAACCCCATTGCCGTGGTGGGGAGGGGACGCAGGAAGATTGAGGAATTTGTGGCCACCGACCTAGCTCCATCCTCAGTTCCCGTCTCAAGAGAATAAGGTAGAAAGTGATAGAGCTAGGCACTGTTTGCAGAACGCATCCGTTCCCTTTCTGTAAGAACTCATTTCAGTGGATTCACTCTCCCATGTTGTCTTGGCAGGGTCCCAGAAACTCACAAGCATCTCTTGGGCCAAGACCCAGGTGAGACGATCAAGCCCCTTAGCGTTGCTCCATTTGTCCCAATGCCCACATAAGGAATTGAGAAGCACCGGCTGGCCATGAGAGCGGTCAGCAGGCATGGGAAAAGGAGACACACAGTAACAGTCTGGTAGAAATCTTTCCACCACCCTCTCCTACAGGGTTTAAGCTGACAGCGGTTGCCTGGCTATTTTCAGGATAATAGAAGGTTAAAGATATAATGATATTCCTTTCTCCTGTGAGGAAACAAGTCCCAGCAAGGCAATGTATTATTAGCTCCAGGCCACACAAACCAATCTGGAACTAAAATCCAGGACTCTGGCTTCCACCCAGCGCGTTTTTTAAACTACTCCCAACACCCCTGCAGTTACCTGTGTTCGTCGCCCCACCGGAAATGATGTCTGCCTTCTCCACCCCACCCTGTCCGTTTGTGCAACTACCCGTTCACCTGTGCTCTCTCTAATAGACCGGTGGGAACGCCGAGCCTCTGCCTAGGACACACCTGTTACCACATCTCCAGGGATGGCTTTGTTCCAGTCCACAATGACAAATGAGTGGCAGCCTTCCATGGCGACCACGGTGATGTTGCGGGGAGCATGCTGAGGGGGCCGGTCATGCTTCGTCAGGTCGTTCGGAATGAGTTCATCCAGGCTCTCCACTTGGAAGTGGTCCAGAGCGTCGGTCAGGGAACAAGGGGCCGAGGGGTCTTTACTGAGGTAGGTCACATAAGGAGCTGGGAAGAACAGAGATGCCCAGTTGGAGCTGGTTTGGTGTTTTGTTTTGTTTTGAGAGGTTGGGAGAGCAGAATCATAACATGTGTCCCATGGAATCAGAGCCACAATTTAGCCTGTCCCGGCAAGACTCCAGAGACACACCTGATGCTAATTCCAGAGCATGTCCTTGAGTAACAGAGATGGCTCAGGAATAAAGCATGCCCTGTACCAGAGTAAGTTCACTCTGTAGCAGCCATGTGGCTGTGGAGCAGTGTGAGAGCCACCTACAACCCCCCATACTTGAGAGGCTGAGACCCTGTGGTAAGCTGGCTAGCTAGACTACAGTAATTGTCAAGCTTCGGGTCCAACAAACAACCCTGCCTTAGTAAATAGTGAAGAATGAGCAAGGAAAATACCCAACACCAATCTCTGGCCTCTACACACATGTGTGGCCCCATGCATGCATATATGCACACATGCACTACACACATGTAATGTAAGCAAAATCAAAGGGCAATCCCTGCCTCTCATTAATGAAACCCGTGCCCATATAGCTTGAAATCTCATGGTTGCAAAAGGTCTCACTGCCCCATCCAAGCTGATGGCTATAACCGCAAAGTGATTTAGAAAGATCCTCTGACTACAATTTGATGTAATATAAGCCTTCAGCATTCTTCCGTGCCTGTGCCCGCAGACTTGGGAAATTGTGAATCAGTTAGCTGGCATCCCCTAGTCATATTTCATTCCCTCAGCCATCTTTAGACCAAATAAACAGATGGCAGCCTCGAGCTTTCCCCAGGTGGCCCCTGGTAGAGCTTTGAACCTCAACCTCTCAACCCTCTTGGAGCTTTAGACGTCGTGCCTAGGTCCAAGTGGCCCTTTGCACGAACACCGTTGCTGAGTTTCTCACTCTCACATTTATGGCATGCTGAAGCCCTTTCTACCCACAATACTTTAGGGGCTACAGGAGGCTGGGGATGTGCAGGCCACGGCCTGGTCCCCCATTACAGCTGAGCCTCCGGAGAGGAGAAAGGGCTTTCCAGCCAGGGGCAAACAGTAGGCTCTCTGCTACCAGCCCACAGCTCTTGTGACTGTATTCCTTTCTAAGAGGAGTTAGGAATGGCAAGGAATTGCAGTTAAGGCTTAATATACTCAAGACCCTCACGTGTTCTCAACTGAAGCAACTAGAAATTTCTGAAGGCCTCTTGGTCTTTAGAAGCAATCTGTGTAAGCGCTAACGATACCACTAAATGCCTCTCTCCCTTTTGCTTGTGGTATGGCTGAGGGAAAGTGAGTTTGCTGGGCTCTCCAGGCTGCTGAAGCCCAGTCAGACACTGGCTCCAGCCCCAGGAATGCTGCCTCAGACTAATGGGTTTGCTTTTTAACTCTTATGGTGAGACGCCCGGTCACTGCCTTTTGGCTGGCAAGACTGCTTCTCTGCTCATGGCAAGACATTTGTTTTGGAAACCGAAAAGTGTGATGTTAATTTAAGTTGTTGCTTGTCTCCACTCAGTAACATATTAATCCAACTGTCTCATTAATGCGGTTCATCTAGGGCATGGGAAAAGAAGGCTTGGGGAGGGAATAGAGCATAGTTCATCTGCATAGAATTGTTTGTAATTGCTGAGAAAGAAGAAGGGATGAATGAATTTCTGGAGCCCAACTCTTTGAGGCTAGCAAAGTCAGAGGAGATAACCATAGACAGAGAGCTTTGGTTCTGCAACATTGCCGTGGCTGGTGATAGCATTCACCAAGCTGCTCTGTTTAGAATTTAGAAAACCAAAGTCCAGCCACCAAATGTCTTCAAAAGACTGGCCTCAGGGATAGGAAGATGGCTCAGTGGGTAAGAATTCTTGCTGCACAAGCATGAGGCCTGTGTTTGGATCCCCAAAAGCCATGGGAAAAGCTGGGCATAGCTGTGTATTCTGCAACTCAGGTACTGGGGTCTGGAGACAGACACATCCTGCAGTCTCCCTGGCCACCCAGCTGAACTGAGATGCTGAGCTTCTGACACAGTGAGAGATGCCACCTCAGGAGAACAAAGTAGAGCGTGATGGAGGAAGATACCAGATGCCCTCTAGCCTGTGTGTGCACACGTGTGGACCCGTGCACTGGCACACATGCTGAATAAAGTCCTGTGTTGAGCACCAACAGTTCTCTGGTTAGTATGGAGTTTTGCAAATTAACATGTACCTAAGTAAAATGGGCTCACTAGATTACTCCTAATGGAAATTCCCCCCCCCCACAGGGAAGTGTTTCCTTAAAATGCACCACCTTAGCCAGACCAAGGCTCAGTTACACTGCCTTCAACGGCAGAAGTTAAAACCGGCTTCTCCAATTAAGGATGTGACATTCACCAATAAACCGTTTCTTTCCAGCCAGATCGAATTCCTCCTCTGGGAAGGAGCTGACAGTGCCTTGCTCTGGGAGAACCTTCCATGTGATAGCAGTGGTGGAGGGCATGATGGTGGCCGGTGACCTCGAGGTCTCAAATCCATAATCTGGAAAGATAGGAAGTCAAGTCCTTGTAATTGGGCGCTACCAAAAGAAGCAAATAGATTGGTTGCAATCTATAGATACTTAAGATTCAACGGCAAACACACACAAATACAGACACATCCCACACACCATACCAGAGTTACCCCCTACACCATAACCAACACACACACACACACACACACACGTATATACATGCGTATGTACATATCACACATCACACCGTAGGTAAGCTATACCACACACACATATAGACACCACCTGCCACCTAGACACCACACACACATACACAGATATACACACACCACATGCAAACATACAGACGTTACATACAGGCATTCACAACTATATCACACACACCACGCGCACACATCCATACATATAATACACACAGATACAGTCACACATGCACACATGTCCCCTCCTGCATACACACACACACACACACACACACACACACACACACACACAGAATAACTGCTACATCAGCTGCATTATTTATAAAGAGAGAGAGAACAAAGAAACACACAGCCCCACAAAAATGGAGTTTAGGAAACAGAAAACAGGAGATCCTCAGAAATTTCCAGACCACGTTTGTGCCCCAAGTTAGTCCTTACTTGAATTTCTTTTCCTTACAGAGCCATAAAAGATCACATTAGGGCTAGAGAGACGCCTCAGTGGCTAAAAGCACTTACTGCTCAAGCAAGGGACCTGGATTCAGTACCAGCAGCCATGGCGGGTGGCTCACAACCTTCTCCACCTCCAGTTCCAGGGGACCTGACACCGTTGACTACACACAGCTGCATGCTGTGTTCACATAAACTCACACTACATGTATGTGTAAACATACATAATTAAAGTTTAATATAAATACATTTAAAAATCACATCAGAAAATAAATTTAAATTTTAAAAAAGCCTTAGGACCGCAGAGATGGTCTAACAAATGAATTAAGAGCACTCGCTGCTCTTACAGAGGACTCAGGTTCGGTTGCCCAGCACCCACATCAGGCAGCTCACAAATGCCTGTAACTCCAGCTTCAGGGGACTCAGCGCCCTCTTCTGGCCTCCAGAGGCACTGCACTCATGTGGTGTACATACACACACTCAGACATAAAATTAAAAAATCTAGGTACAGACGTCTTGGGGGAGGAGACTGGAACTAAAGCCCTAAAAAGAACCAACCTTTTAATATTTAAAAGAGAAAATAAAACTGATCCCTTCCAATGGCTTGAAAATAAAAAGACAGTGAGTGTTTTCCAAGGTGCTGAGGAGTCTTTCTGGGCTTCCCAACACCCGATGCTCATCTTTCAGATGACTTAATTATGAATGGACAAAGCATCAAAGACAACATTATTCATGGGATTGTGGCCCAAAACCCTGACACCAGCGGATCAGAGGAAGCATAACCTGAGCTTGGACAGCAAAGATCCACACCAGGTGGGCATGTCTCCAAGGCAAGCTTCTCAACTGTAGAGGCAATTATGAAGAGAAGACAACCCCACAGCCCTAAGAGCTGGTGCCATTCCTCAAGGGGCTGCTGCAGCTGGGCCAGGGGCATTTTGCAATATTGGGTTTAACCGTTTGAAAAGTCTCTGTGATGAGAAATCAACACATCTGTGGCCACGTCTGTGTTATTTAGCTGGAAAAGAGCGAGGAAGAACAGAGCCCAACTAAGAGGCTCCGCCTGATTTAAACCATGATGTTTTGCCAATAGAGATGCTGATGAGGGCAAGTCTGGGCAGTGGCAGCGCCAGGACTGCCAGTGGGTTGGAAGGGACTTTTGATCAAATACGAATTTGAGAGTGACTGGGGACATGGGGTAGTTTCCACCGGTCCCAGAGAAAAATGCAATCAGACACTTAACACTGAGATGGGATCTTAGGATCAGAAAACAAAGCGTGCCCTCCGGGATCAGCTCCATACCGTCGTCATACACGACATAGTCCTCCTCTGTGGGCGCCACTCTGTCGGTCTCCAGCCCTGAGAAGTCATCTACGGAGGAAGAGAGACAAGGACAGGTCGTCACAGGCCCATGGCTCTTCCCAGTGCTGTGTGGGAATCCTGCCCCTTAGGATGGCGACCCGGTCATCCCGAGTGACTCCCAGAAAGAAGCTGCCCATTTCTCCTCACTTTAGCACCGAGAGCTGTGAACCCAAAAGGGAATTGCTTCAGTCTCCTTTCCCTGTCCTCTCTTTGTTCCCTAAAACTACCCCCACTGGTAAGCAGACAGCAGGCTCGGGTTTACAGAGACCGCTCTCTGCAGCCCCACCCCCAGTTAAAGGTGGGTATTGTCTTAAGTCATTCTTTCTCGTCTGTCTTTCTTGTTATCACCCACTCAGGAAGCTGATACTGATTAGACTCCTTAACGCGCATACGAACTTTGAATATGTGATGTCAGTGACAAAATTTCTCATTAATACATTACTAAACCACTAGGCTCCTTGGGACGATAGAATTTTACTTCAGTGTGATTTATAGAATTGTAGGTGAATTTTTTTTTTTAATGCCTTCCATTTAATCATGAAAACTAGTATTGGAATTCCAGCAGTGGAGTAATGACTGGGCTGGCAAACAAGCATGGGGATGGTCAAGAAAGGTGAATAATGTAAGGAACTAAAAGGGTGCTTTTTCTCTATTCTCTGGGCAGTTCAGTCTGAAGTCACTTAGCTGTTCTGCAGTGGTGTTACCCCAACCCCGGTGTATAGAGCCATCCCCGTGGTGGAAAAGTCTCGAATCCAAAGAATTTTCTATCCAATCAACTCAAAGCACCCCACCGGCTTACGGTCTGAAGCCCTCAGCCCAGCCGTGGTCCAGAACTCTCTGGACACAATGTCCCCTTGGAAGGAGGAATGGAATGACAGGAGCGGTGGCTAGCAGATGCTTTATGGGCTCTGCATGCTCAGGGTAAGCTGTGTGAGTTAATCTTCACAGCACATGCTTGGGATGACCGTGTTTAGCACAGCTGCTTCTCAGGTTCCACACCGAGGCTCTAAGAGGGCGTACGGTGGGCTAAACACAGAATAGAACTCCAGCTTCTCTGTTTGGCTCGGAAATCGTATACTTTATACTTCACCAGACTGCCTCTACTTTTTAGACGCTGACCTGGCCAATCCAAGTGTCTGTGTCGCTTGACTCAACATTTCACAGCGAAACCGAAGGGGAATGAGTATGTAAACTCCCATCTCCAGGAAACTATGTGCATCAATTTGGCACTTTTTTAGCATTAGATCTAATTTACATACAATGCCAAGGTGAGCTCCCGCAGTGGAGGGTAGGTGTACCCTGCCGATGCCTGCCCACCGTCTCCTGAACATAGCAGCAGAACACTCACAGCTACCCTCAGCTGCTCAAGACAGGCTCCAGCACCTTAGTGTGTCAACCTGTGCTGACAGTATCCTTAATAAGACCAGTTACAGGTCATCCACCCTTCAGGGACAGTATGATGACCTTGTAAAAAAATTTCCAAGCATGGTTATTAATATATTATTATAATATATCATTACATATTATTATTATTATTATGATCATCCACAGGCTAGGGCAGCACCAATACGCCTGCATCCAAGACAGAATTACTCCCAAGTCAATTCAAATGTGTCCTCAGGTTCATAGTGCCCTAACTTTGGGTCTATCTTGCCAACACTGCGGGTTCCTGACCACCATTTTGTTTTTCCTCTGAGAGTTCAGCATTTTAGGAGCACAGTGCGACTTTCCTACTGATCATTTCCTTTCCATTTCATTATGTCTCCAGGCTTAAAGAGAAACGAACAAAGATGTGCTTTTTTTTTTTTTTTTTTTTTTTTTTTTTTTACCATCCCAGGACAGATGCGAACAGGGAGGAAACAGAGCTCTTTGTGGATTCCCATGTTGGTGGTCACTCCTTCAGCCGCTGGAATAGCTGGTGCCTCGCCGGAGGTCACGTGTGCCAATTTAGATCACCGCTTGTGGTGAACAACACAAAGCCTCTGGCATAGGTGAACATCCATCCCGCCAAGCAATTTAATCCTAGAACCAAATTAATTCTAGAACCAAATGAAATGGATTTACTTCTGAAATAGCACCATCTTCTCTCCGAGGAAATGTCTCTTCTGTGTCCACACTTTGTCAGAACCGAAGACCGCCTCACTCTGCCAGGCAAGACAATCTAGAGCTCTGTAGAACTGGATTTCCTACAGCCCAACCCAATCCCCCTGCCAAAAGTTTGATCTTCATCTAAAAGCGTCTTCCACTCATGGACATGTTGGTGTAGCCAAGGCTTTTCAGTACCTCGCCCGAGGTCAAGTTAAAAAAAAAAAAAATGAATACATGATGTCTCCAAGGAATTAGAGCCTCAGCTCCAGAGACACTAACACAGTTTTTTTTTTTAAAGTTTGTTCTCTGTAGAAATTTAGAGAAAGGAAGGAAACACCAGCCGTGGGGCCTTGGGCACATTCTCACATGGTATGGCGGGTCCACTGCAAGGACACTCTGATACTCTCTTGGTCGTTTTCTGTCAAGAGGGTAAACGTGGAAAGCTGGAACTGTTTTCTCTAATGATGAATGTGTCTCTCCAACATGCAATGAGGTCATGTTCCGAATTCTTGAATGTTCAGTTGGCTCAGGGCATTTCCGAATATGTGCAATTGCACCCGATCTACTGCAGAAAGAGCCTGGAAAACAAAGATCACTCGCTTTTACTTCCCAGCTAGAAAACCGAGATGCCTGCATCTTACCATGTCTAGATGCCTAATGACGATAACGTGGTAGGTACCCTGAGAAATTAGAGACAGGACAGATCTTCTGGGGTTCATTACTAAGCAGGAAAGTCAGTTCTAGCTAAAAAACAACATCAGAAAACAAAATTCATTGTTCTTGCATGTATGTGTGTGTGTGTGTGTGTGTGCACATGGGTATGTATATGTGTGTGCATGTGTGTGCTCACGTGTGTGCATGTATTGATGTGTGTGTATGAATGTGTGTGTGTGTGCGCGCATGGATGTGTGTGCAAGGTTGTGTGTGTGTCTGTATGTGTAAAAAGAGAGAACAAATGCAATAATATATAGGAAACAAGCATATAGTGCGGATCTATGGCTAGGGGAAGTGTGGCATCCTTAGCAAATGAGGAAGTACCCACAAGTAACAATGTTGCTGGCATGCCTGAATGGCCCAAGGTTATTCCTAGAACATTTCTTGAAAGCAATTTTCAAAGGGAAAGAGGAGGCAGCGTGATTCAACCAAGGGAGCCAAGATGTTTGAAAAGATGTTGTGAAAGCTGGACAGCTGCAACAAAACACCAGGGCTTTCCAGAAGGAATGGAATGTGCCATGGTCCAATGAAGCTGGCCGAGGGGAGGGGTCTGGGAAAGCTCCTTGTTGGTGCTCTTCATTACCGCCAGTGCAGGTTCCAAGTCCCAGCCAGAGCAGCAGTAAGCACTCAGGTACCAGGCTGCGGAGTCATGGTGTATGTACAGCGAGTGCATGTTCAACACGGAACGCGCTACTTAGCCCGATAAAGGAGGTGATGTGAGAGGAACATGGCTGTGAAAGGCGAAGCCAGGGCACTCGTGAGACCCAGGTGTTCCTGGGGGTCCTGTGGGGGAAGCCAAGGAGCAGGCCTCCTTCCTCTGACGCTAGGGCCTGACTGGGACCACCTCTGCTCCAAGTGTCCTTGCAATGATAGGGCGCATTCATTCGCAAATGAGGCCATTACAGGTGCTCAGCCGACCAAGAAGATGTGTTATATCGTTGGTGAGCAGGCTTTCCAGAGCAATGTGACTCTGATATTTTCAAACCTCCAGCTGTCTTTGGAACTAAATTCCTCCACAAGAGGCAAGCAAATACTGTGCCTGCACTGTGCCCGTATTTGATAATGTCACGGTAAACAGAAAGCCACTGGAGCCCACTGAAGTAATAACCTGTGAGCACTAGGTCAGGGGACCAGCTTAGTGACACAGAGAACACAGAGAACAAAAGCAACTGTCGGACAAGAAACGGAGGGGAAAAAATAAAAAGAATAAATCTAACAGCAGGGAGGGGTCTCTGAGGAGTGATGCACATGTCTGCGGCCTTGCTGACCGCATGTGTGCACAAACCTTCTCACCCAAACTCCTCAGACTGTGTTAACGCGCACGGCTCTTTATATGCCAACCATACCTCAGTGAGAGGGTTTTAAATTAAAATATCAAGTAACTACAGCTGTAATAAGAGCAAGGAAGAGAAAATTCTAGAGAGTCCTAGAAACAGCTGATAGAGAATGCAGAGCTCACTGAAGGGTTTTAAAAATAACGCACAGTCCATAAAGGATGGCAAGGAGATGTGCCACTCTTGCCAAATTTAACTCCCCCCCGCCACCATACTGTGTTTATTTGCAGTTGATTTCAAAATGCTGCCTAGAGGTCCATTAGTCTTTGGGTTGGGCCAAGGAGTTAGACAGGGGTTACAAGTGACATGAGCATTCTGACTGGCAAAGAAAGGTCTGGACACAGATGCTAAGAAAATCTACTGGGTTTCATGCCAAACTGAAGTCTGGGCTAGAACAATGTAAATGGAATAACGTGCTACGGGGCCTTTAAGATGCACATAATGTAAAGTGCAAGCCAGCAGGGGTGAAAGCCAAATCCTAGGCAATCATTCTTTTGTTAACCAATTACTAAGCAACTTCTCTATAGTGACAGTTCTACTCTCGGAAACAAACATATCGATGTATGCAGAGGGGAGAAGTCACGGTAATACTAAACAGTTAAAGGTACATCTAGGGACCATCGAGACAGCTCAGCAGGTAAAAGTCACCTGCAGCGAAGGCTGACCAACCTGAGTTCCTTCTTTGGAACACACTCGGGAGGAGAGGACTGACTCACCTTTTGTCCTCTGGCACATGCGTACCCAACACCCTTAAATAAAAAAAATGTTTAAAAAAAGGAAAAGAAAAAAAGGAAATTCAGATTTGTACTCACCCAGAGAACATTACAAGGGATCTCTCCCCAAGGGCTCTCTCCCTTGGTTTGCGTTTCTTTACTCTCTGCCGTGGATTTTAAGATGTATCCAGTTTCTCCATTAATTTTGCACCTTTCCATGCAAACATTGTCCTGGAAATGGATCCTCATTCTGAACACAGTGTCTATGCTCGGCTTCCTCAGGGCTGATGACAGGTAGCAATGCTGTGTGAGAATTCCTGGCTGGCAATTGTGTCCTAGGAGAAAGGGTCTTCACTGCCTTAGACTAAAGAAAGATCCAGGCTTTACAGCCTCCGTGTGCCATCCCGGCCTGAGGGCACAGCGTGTGTCTGTCCCCTCTGTGCTGGGGGAGAGCTCCGTCCAGGATCATGTGAACAGAAGCCTGAGAAGAGAGGCTGATGACGAGATCCTCCACCACAACCCGGGCCTTCTTGGATCCCGTTCTTCAGTGGGAAGATGGGCTGACGTCAGGAGTGACCAGAGGGCCCAATGAGCCATGGCGAAGCAGAAGTGGTGAGCTCTTCCAATAGAAACCCTGTACTCCCAGGAGAAGCCTCATCCCTTGACACTGGACACTGGCATTCTCCAAAAGGAAGGGTGATCACCAGGAGCTTCACCCCCGCTCGGCACTGGTGGCTTCCCTGGCACTCCTAGGGAGACTGTTATCTAACGGACCACCCACTCAGAACCCATCAGACCTGATAAATCACATGATCACAGGACCAACCTATCAATATGTCTTCCTTTCTCCCCCCCCTTACACACACACACACACACACACACCAATTCACAGTAGAAAGTACCTAGGGAAACATAGCCCAAACCAATAATACTAAGTTTCAGTTGTTAGATAAGCAAAAGACACCCTGAATTTTTAGATGAACAACAAGTGTGTGTGTGTGTGTGTGTGTGTGTGTGTGTGTAAGGTGCATCTCAACGCTGTATTTATTAGTTACTGAATCCAACAGTCCTGACTGCATCCCAAGATGCCTCTGCCTGGCTGCCATTCTGCCCTGCCCAGCGCTCAGCCCATCTGGCAGGCTCCGAGACCTGCCTCTGACTTGCAGTGTACTAGTCAAGCAAAGCTGTCTACATTAGAACAAAGCCGGCTACCTTCCTCGGGATAGCACTCTGGGATCCCATTTGAGCCCATTATGAGGTTGCCAGCTTCATCCTGATGTTCCAGGGTCCCTGGGGGACAGGTAGGAGAAGGGGCGGTAGGTTCCGGAGTGGTGGTAGTGGTAGTTGTTCTCCGGGTAGCTCGGATGGTAGTTGTGGGACGCCTGGTGGTGGTGGTCCGGCGGGTGGTGGTGGTCCGGCGGGTGGTGGTCTGGGGGGTCCGGCGGGTGGTGGTGGTCTGGGGGGTCCGGCGGGTGGTGGTGGTTTGGGGGGTCCGGCGGGTGGTGGTGGTCTGAGGGGTCCGGCGGGTGGTGGTTTGGGGTTGAAGGGTGGTGGTGGTAGGCACAGTGGTGGTTGTTGTGGTTGGAGGCATGGTTGTGGTAGGAGGATGAGGGGTGGTTGTTTTGATGACCTCTAAACCCACCAAGGGCTTCCCTCCGAGACTCAAGATGGGTCTATCCTGGGCACTGGCCAGAGGTTTGCCATGTCTCCCCTGCCCAAAGAGGGGGAGGCCGTCGGGACTCACCATCGGGGTTCCTCCCAGATCTGAAACAGAATCAAGCAAGAGACACACAACAAGGTGAAACAATCCAGGGGGCGGAAAACACAATGACAATGAAAAGGATACTTCTCAAAGCTTATTTACGTCTGCCTATGCTTTACCAGCAAAACGCAGAGGGGCAACGATGTGACAGGACGTCTGCTGTTATCCCGAAAGACAGCCTTAGGAGGCTGTGTATCATGCCTGCTACAGAACTATATAAACTCCTCGGGCAGTGTGCATCACTAGGAGAGAAAACTGTGTCTGTTAAGGGAAGCAGTCCTTTGCTCTGTTTCTACTCGTAGGGGAGGAAACATGTCAGGTTGGGCCAGGGAGCACAAACATTTCCACTAAAGCCCAGAGAGTGAGTATTTTAAGCTTTACAGGTCAGATGGCGCTATTCAGCTAAATAGCTTGAAGCACAAAGCACACAACACATAATGCATAAGTAAAACATAAGTGATGAGGTAGATGATGCATACATAAGTCGACACTGAAACGTGAATTTCATATAATTTCAAATCGTTTTACCATATGTCACAAGGCATCGCTCTTTTGGGGCAAGGGGGAAGAATCATTTTACAATGTAAGAACTGTTCCTGTGGCCTTCCATATCAGGCAGTACAGGGGTTGGCCTGTGGGCTATACTTTTCTGACCTGAGCTCTAAATGGCTAAGTTCAAAAACAAACTAGAGGACATTTCTGAATAAATAGGGCAACTAAAACCAGGAGGAAAATGCTGTGTGATGGCCCCATTTGGGGACCTTCTTCCCATACAGGTAAGAGTGACAAGACCATGGGCAACCGTTATAAACAAGGGGTATAGTGAAGCCCAAAGCCAGTCCACAGTCCCCTCAGCTTTTGTCCCTAGGAGTCAGTCTCACTCACCCACAATGGTGCGACCATCTCCCCCGAGCCTCACCCGGAGAGGATTGCCATGTGAGTCTTGGAGATATCTCCCTTCAGCATTGAAGACCAACCCACGATCCAGGTCCACAACCTAGACCAAGACAGCACAGATGGAAGGAGGTACTGGGAATCCCCAAGTGCTCCCATCTCCACCCATGTGCACAGACAGACATGTGACCATCCACAGAAGGAAAAGGGGAGTGAGAGGGAGGGACGCTTGTCACTGTCATTTGCAAAATTAGGTGCAATTAATTATATCTCGTATTGCATTGCTTGCCTTGTCACGGCTTGCCTATGTGATACCAAATATTGCCAAAGACATTTCAAGTACCCGTTCTTAACCATTTAGTACATCATACACAGGAACAAACCTCAGGACCCACCAACTGATGGAAGAGCTTGAATAAATAAAGGCCCGTCAGCATCCAGTAAAGGAATGTGTGAATCTTGTATGCACTGACCTAACTTTATGCACACCCGGGGAACAGGACTGATTAGTCCGCAAAGAAACCAACGCACTTTATACATAAGCTTGGAAATGGCAAAGACTCGCGTTCTGGAAGGATATCCACCAACGTGTTCCCAAGGGGTCACCTCTGAGAAGCGGTTTGGAGAAAAGAATGAGTGCTTCCTTTTTCTTGTATTTAATGATTGAATGAATAGATATTACCAGTTGCTTAAGCATGAAATGCTTTCATTGTGCTACTTTGTTAAAAAAAAATAAGGTAAAATTTTGGTTATTGAATTTAAAAATTTCATTTATAGAAACAGTATAAAATATAGAATAAACTCAGAGATTTCTTATTCTAAAAAAATGATAAAGCTTGAAAATGTATTATTTTTTTTCTCTGAGGGAGAATGTCATGCTCTTCCTTAATAGTCCCTTAAGTATGGTCCTGCTGGACCAGCAGCATCCTCATATCTTAGTGACTCATCAGAGGCATGATGGCCCGACAGGGCCACAGTGATCCCATGCTGGGGAGCATCTGAAACCCACCTCTATGTAACCACAATGCAAGAAATGTCCTGTCTTGACAGCAAAAATGAGATGTTTATTGTAGATCCTACTTTCAAAGTCAGCTCTGATGGCCTCTCAGCCTTGGCTAGGATGAAGTGTAGTGTCAAGACCTTTTCAGTTCAGAACTATTCGTAAAGCATGATTGACATGGCTCTCGTCTTTAGATGATCTCTGATGAAATTTTTTAAGAGACCCCCAGGATGTTATTTCATTGTAAGGACTGGTAATTCCACGGTAAGATTTTCTATTCTTTTCTTTCAAAGAATATTTTCAGGCCCTGAATACTGTTTTCTACTCACTGCACTCAACTCCCCAAAATCCCCTAAACATTTATCTTAGCTCCAGGCATGAGTTTAGTATATTCGTCTAAACAAAAAGCACTATGACATATTTTCATCTTCAGTCAGACAAAGATCAGATCCAAGGGATTAGCTGATAAAACTATCTGCTTGGTTTAGAGTTTTTGTTTAGATTTAGTATTTCTTTTACAGAGGATTTGAGACAACTGACAAAATATATGCAACATCTAATTATACACGAAGCTAAAAATAAAAATTAAATACAGGGAGGAACATTGGAGAAGCCATTCCTAGACTCTAAGTAACCGCTGAGGTGGAGCCATGGATTTCTCTTATCTTCCTGTGAATCAAGAAGAATGGAAAGCCCCACAAAATGAGACTCTGCAATAGGAACTAAAGACGAAAAAGACAAAACAGATAGTTTCTATTGTGGAGTGGCGATCGTCCTTGCTAAACATGAGACATATCCTCAGTTTACCAAGTAGAAACATTTGACTTTTCCTCTTTCTTAAGCAGTTAAATTTCTTAGGTAGGCAGGATGGGGCACCTCTACAATCCCAGTGCAAGAGAGGCTATGAAGCAGGACAAAAATCACGTTTGAGGCCAGCTGGAGTACACTAACAACTTATCAATAAGAGAGGGGAAGAGATGGGAGAGAAGGAGAAGGGAGGGGAGGGGATGGAGGGAGAGGAGAGGAGAGGGGAGGGGAGGGAGAAGAGAGGGGAAGGGAGAGGAGGGGGGAGAGATGAGGGGAGGGGCAGGGAGGGGAGAGTGGAGAGGGGCTTGGGTTACTGGCACACAGCATCATGGTTCCCCCCCCCCCCCCCCGTCGGCGTGGGAACACCTTGCATGTGTAAAGAAGTTACCTTACCCACTTTGTTCCTTGAGGACCATTGATAATTCTCTGTCCGTTCGGCTTCCCAATACTACCAGGAGGTATGTTCTCTTCTACATTCGGTCTTCCATTGTAACCTACACAGCAGGGAAAAGAAAAAGAAAAATTCCTAGAAAATTCAGCCTTCCTAGACTATTGACTTCACCAAACTCTACATGCACACACTTCACCTCCAACAAACACAAAACAGAATTTCACCCGATGGCATCTGTGTATTAGCCAATAAGATGCCGGCTACGGGACAGTCGAGCGACACCCTGTTGATGCTGGGGACTGAGAATGGATCTCACAATTAGTTTAGAAGTCTAGTTCCGTTTTCACTGGGAGAACGGGGCGGCATGGGAATAATGGAGAGGATGGCTAAAGAGTTTTAAATGCCACCAAACTGGACCGCTGACTCCTGTCGCAGGTCTCAGTTATCATGCGGCATTGTCCCTGCATGCTGGTCTCCTCAGTTCAGCTTAAGAGTGTTTACTGAGTTGTTTTCAACCAGCTCTAGAGGACAGGTGGCTTTATCCACTGGGAGGGAGCCTCTGTGGCCCAGCCCGACTTCAGGCTTCTGACACACTGCTGGTCAGACTCAGTTCATGCCTTCCCTTGCATAGCAAGCATGTCCTATTACACTGGGTCCTAGTACATGCAAGGCATTGGTAAACTCTACATCTATTAATGTGGCTGCCACTTGAAACAGTCACGGTAGAAAAACTATCCCCACAGGGGACAATGCGTCAAGCAAATTAGCATGCTTCCAGGTATGGTGACTCTTGGCTGCAAGCTCAGCCCTCAGGGGGCGAACACAAGAGACATGCTGTAGGTATGAAGTCAACTGCAGCTATTCAGTAAGCGCCAGCCCCGTCTGGACTACAGAGCGGGGACACCGTCTCAAATGAATGAATTAATGAATCAACAAATAACACCAGCAGAGTCTAACACATTTGCTGAAGGTGTTCTAAGGAACACCAGTTACATGCGAGAGAAGCACAGGTTCAGCTGAATGCAGATTTATCAAAAATGCCTTGGACTCTGCCCTGCCAGTTACATGGAGCCTGATTAATAGCTGTCTATGTTCCACTGCCTGTTACAGAATTCTAAGCAATTCCTACATAAGACATTTGAAACTGAGCTAGGGTTTACTTGATTGAGTTTTATATGCAAAGGATAAGTATGGAACAAGCCAGTACATACACACACACACACACATGCACATACATGCAAAGACACATATGTGCACATGCATACAAACACACACATACACAAATACAAACATACACACATATACATACATACACAAACACATAAACATTCATATATACATATAAGCACACACATACATACAAAGACATATACACACATACACATATATACACACACGTGTATATATACATTGATATATGTATTCATGTGTTATTAATTTGTTCTGCCAAGTGAATAGCTGAAAATAACATCTGGCTATGGCACATCTTCACAGATGAAGGGGAAGTTTGGAGGGTTACAGGATACCGGGATTCATGTTAGTAGTAACTGCAGCCCGGGGGCATCTCCGGTTAAAGTGACCTGAAGCTGGCAGTTCTGGCCTCTGAGGGTCAAACCCATCTAAAAGCAGAGGCCACAGTGCAAACCAATCCTGGCCCCCAACACACAACTGAGCGAAGAAGCGGGGGTGATGCAGGCTTGGTTACTGTGGATGCTCAGTAATAAAAAATAAGCCTTAAAACAAACAAAAAACCCACTTTCAACCACTAGGCTTTTTTTTTTTTTTTTTTTTTTAAAGAAATATAAAAGGTTCAGTAGCTATAGCTCAGAGCAAGTTACCTTGTGCCAGCACGGGTCTCGAGGGGGGCTGCCGCGAGACCGGGGTCCGGAATCTTCGCTGCATCCTCTGGCGCAAGGAAAGCATAGGCGTCGTGGAGGAGAAGCTGGGAGGGGCGCGGGTGGTATACCTTGCCCAGGAGTGGCTGCTGGCTGTGGGACTTGCAGTGGCAGGGTTTCGAGGCTGGTACGGGGGAGGTGGGTGTGAGGCTACGGAAGGACTGCCTGGGGGTCGCCTTCCGGGAACGGTGTTCTCTGCCTGCACAAGGCTCCCTCCTTGGGGAGCCAGCACAGTGGCAGCCTTGTCAAGGTTTCTGTCCGCATACTTGTTACCCCCGTGGGGGGAGGAGGAAGGCCACTTTGAAACCGAGGCAGTCAGAGAGTCTTCCTTGCCTTTTACAATTCCTCCCTTTTCCTCTTCCTCTTCCTCCTCCTCAGTGAAGACTGATTGCTGAGATTCAGGCAGTAGGGGGCCCTTAGAAGGCGAGATCTTCTTCACTGGCGTGGCCTGGACCCCAGCCCTGCCGGAAACCTGGGCCCGGTGATAGGGGCTGCCAGGCCGGCTGGGTCTCACACGGCTGGGTTGAGGGCTGCTGTTAGTGTTTCCTGGCTGGGGGCCCGCCTGCCGATGTCTGAAAGTGGAATCCGGGGCCTCGATTTGGGAGTCCTCATCCTGACTCTGGGAAGCCGAGGGCAGCATCCCACGCGAGTTGGGTGTGTGTGAGAGTTCCCGCCCTGTGTCATCAAGCGACAGCTTGGGTTGAGAAAGTGACCTGTCATTATCCTTACTCTGAGAACTAGAAACCTCTGAGCTGCGGCCAGGTGCCAGTCTTCTGGGAACAGTGGACCCAGGGTAGGGCTGCGATCTCAATGCTGGAAGCCGAGCAGGGGACGACTGGCGGCTGGTAGACCCTGGGGGTGTTCGGTGAGCATCCTCATGGGTACTCTGTTGCAAGTCCTGTGTCTTGGAGGACAGAGGGGATTTGCCCCCAGGATATACATCTGCTCCAGCAGTTTTGGGGTTTTCTGGGATGGGCTCCTTCCTGTACGAGCTGGCTCCTCTCTGGGGGCCTCTTCTTAGGGCGTCCCAGCCCACAGAGGCCGGGTGCCTGGAGGAGGAAGGTGTACGATCGTTGACCACAGTGGCTGGAAGCGGCTCTTCGTCCTCGCCATCTCCGTAGACATCGGAGCCAGACCTGGTGTGGGATGCAGGCTGTGAGGGAGCTCTGGTGAGGACTTTCGAAGCTGAAGTAGACTGAGGAGACACAGAGGGTTGCAGCCTTAGTCCCCGGAATCTGGGGAATCTGTTTGGAGTTCTGCTGTGGGCAGCGAAGGGCTTGTTCCGTGTCAAGCTGAAGTGTCCCAAGGCGGGTCGGGTCTGTTGGGCTGCAGCACTAGAATCTTCCTCGCTGGTGGAGGAATGGGAACTCCGCGATGCAGACGACTCGGCTTTTGCAACTGGGAGCATGTTAGAAGCCACATGGCGGGTAGGGTTCCGGGTGGGCTTGGACCCGACTGGATTCTTAGGTGAGTGGGACAAAGCAGCTTTAGGATCCGGTGAGCCTTCTTGATCATCCTCATTTTGGCTCACAGAATCGTTGTCTGTAATGGGATGGGTAGAAGAGGCGGTCACTGAAGGTTCAGTCCCTGGATGAGGGTGCAGAACCAGTGAGGGGCCACGCCTATCCATCCCTTCCTTGCGGGACAGCACTGGCAGTCCAGCCTTTGCTGGAGTCCTGCCGGGAGCTGGAACCCAATGACCAGATCTGCTTGGTATCCTCAGGGGCCGCCTCTGGTCTAGGGTCTGCGACCGTGATGGACGAGGATCTTCAAGGGAATCCATTTCCTCCTCACCAGTGTCTTCCGTGGCCTGCGGATCCAGCGCTCCCATTGTAGAGTGAAGCTGGGTTCTCCTGGGTGGCCCGCCATTAGCCAGGATTTTGTTCTTTAAGTCAAGGAGGATATCCTTGGCATTTTTGGCTGGGGAAGTGTGTCCTGAAGAAGTTGCGGCTTTGGGAGCAGGGGATGTAGGCTGAGGTCTCTCGGGTTTCCTGCTGTTTTCCCCATCCTGGTGCGTGCTGGCCTCTGTGGAACTGGCTGGAACAGATTTTTAAAGGTGGGTGTCAGAGGAGGTTTAGGAGTCAGCACCATCCTGTGTGGAGGAGTTCCAAATGTTTCACTGCAACGGACCCCTTCTAACTCCTTAGAACGCTAACCATGCCCATACCCAGCTATAACATTCTTTTTGTTGTTCTATTTTACTTTGCACAGCAGAGTTCTAGGACCCATGTGTGGACTGAATCAGGGCATGCCACAATTTATCATTTGAAGAAATTCTGGAGTGAGTGCTTAGATGTACAGTCAGCCCTGTGCATCCATGGAGCCTGAAGCCTCAGATTTGCCCCATCTGGCCTCAAAAAACATTCGAGAAAAAAAAATGTGTCTGTGCGACCCATGTGTAGATTCATTTTTGCCCTAAATAGTGTGTGTTCACACAGCATTTCCACTATACCAGCGAGGGGTGATCTACGTGTGCGTGTTCTACGCGAACACTTCTTTTTCAGAAAAAGGACTTGAATGTCCGCAGAGTTGGAATCATTGGGGGTGTTGGAACACACCCCAAAATTCTCAGGGATGACTGTGAGTCGCTGTTTTTTTGTAAGTGCAAGATCTTAAGTGGGACTTTCTTAAGCGGTTCGTCTGTACGTTACCGACGTAGTGTGGCTGTTCTTAATGTCAAGTGACCTACACTCGGAGTTACAGTGGGATGCAATTTGCAAGTGCGTGCAGTGAGCACTAAGCTTGTACACGCCACACCACCACAAAGGACCCCTGCTTCCCCCCAGCACACTTTCCCTTGCTTCCTTTCTCCAACCTAAAATTTCTTTCGTAAGGGATAAGTTGTATCCCCCCAAACAAGGCTTAAACTTATAATGCAAAATAGTATCTTAAACAAGTGCTGTGAGTCCTCTGTGTTGACAGAAGAACTGACTGAGGGAAGGGAGGTTGTACTGGAAAGGAATTTATGTAGCAATAGGGGGACCTAGAGGGACAAACATCTTTTTCAGTGTCTCCCAGCATGAGACTGTGGGCCTTCACGGTGTACAGTAGAGAGAGCTGTACATGTCCAGAATAAACGTCAAGAAGCAACACAGAAAACGTGGGCCATAAACAGTCCACCCCATCTCTGGGTCTCTGTGAACTTGTTGGTTTTAATACTGATCAGACAAGCCGGGCAATTGAAAGTCTTCTGAGAAATGCTCTACCCCAATAAAAGGACAAAGGGAACCGTTTAATCCTTGCAGCAAAGGGCTAACAATTAAAATGCCCGATTAAGCTAACTAACACTTTCTCTCCCTCCCAATATAAGCCCCAAATGACACACTAATTCTAAAGTAGTCATATGATTAATATATTGATAACAATGTAGGCAAGTTATTAATATCAGTGGTAACATGTCAGCCTTTGGAAAGATTGATCTCAAGGGGGACTTTTTAGAAACAGCTGTGCAGACAGACAACCCTGAAAAATCGTCAACTGAATGTCGCTAAACCCAAAGGCATGATTCAAAGTAACCCAAAACAAACGGCAGGGATGAAGAGAGAGGAAAAGCCAATACACGATGCTTACTTGTTGGTATAGTAACAATGAAGGCTTTGGAGTGTGGCCCCGGGCCTCTCCGGTTTGTGGCACGGATTTTGAACAGATAGCGCTCCCCAGGCTGCAGGCCGTCCACCATGGCAGAAGTGGTGTGTCCAGAGAAGGTGAGGGACTTTGCTCCAAATGGCTTAAGGGCCGGGGCGTATGAAAGAATGTATTCTGAAATGATTTGGCAGACAGTTGGAAGGAGGGAGATGAAAACAGTCTTGTGTCCAGCAGACAGACCGTGTGGGCAGAACCGATTAGAACGCGCATTGCCGAAGCTAACACCTGGCATTGCACACCTGGCCAGCGGTTGCGGCAGAAGAATGGCGTGCAAGGAAAGCTCACACTCATTAGAACCCTTGGAAGTTACAAGCAGGCAACTTGCTATTTAATGAAGACACGGGGTGGGATCAGTTATCTTTATACAATTGATTAATATATATATTATATATTATATATACATATAAACTAATATGTATATATATTAGTTTAGGGGTTTCTGTCTCCTTACAAACTTTATATAGTGGCATTAGCATATCTCAATGTAAGAAACCAAGGGATCCCAAAAGTGCTGACTCCCAGAAACTGATTCTGAGTAGCTACTCACATCAAATTTCATTTACCAAATGGAGTGACTGAGTACATTAACTCGGGGGGAAAAATGCCATATTTGTCATAAAACTTCCCTCTAGTAAGAATTCACTCTATGCTGCTGAGACTATTTCATAGTATTTAAAACTGTGAAGGAAAAGTCACTCATGGAGCTGTGTGGTCCCTAACGTTTCCACTTTTATTGGCTTCTCTAGAAGCACAGAGTGCCCTTGGAGTTTGAAAATCGTGGATGGTCCAGTATAAGGAGCTGTTTCTTTTATTACATTATAAATTTTGTTTAGATTTATTTATATTTTTAAAACTTGTTCCTTATTTTATGTTTTTAAAATTTAATTATAATTACACTATTTCCCCTCTCCCCATCTCCTGCTCTTCCCGAGTTGCTAGCCCTGAAATCATGTACATACATATAGCATTAGATAGGCTGAGAAGTTTGTAGCTATATATTTAGAAATATGTACATATATATATATGCAACAATAAAGACAAAGTCATATTTCACAGTGTAATTTTAATGTTCAACAAAGAATTGTCCTTGCCTATTCTCTCAATGATTTAAGATTCAAATATCTTACCAAGTTAATATGAGAACGGCCTCAGAAAAAATCATGCAAATCACAGAAAAATAAAGCAATTACTTGAGTATGGGGGAAACCTTCACCTCTAAGGTCTGAGCTTTAAAAAGTACACTAAAAGAAATCTTTCAACCAGGAATGTCTTTGCACTATCTGTCTTTTCTCATAGAACTAGTTAGAGAGCCCCCAATGCTATAAAACCTTATAATTATGATTCATTAGTGGATTAAACTAATCTAGAAAAATGCTCACTATGTTTTATGTTTCCCAGACACAGAAAATGCTCCCCAATTAATTATGAATTTTAATCTCACGATTATACCCATACTGAAACTAAAACGGGTTTAAGATACATAAATCTTCCATCTTAAAGAACTCAGTAGCTATCATTTTTGACAAGATTTGACTGGTGATGGGTGGCTTCCTTTGCCATTAGTTGTGATACACACGTGAGACAGAAAAAGAATGAGTTGGGGTAATGAAAGAAAATAAATCTACTAGATGGACAGTAACTGCAGTCCTTATACACAGGGAGTCAGTGTTTCTGACTTCATAAGAACCGCAACTTAAAGGGACCAGCTAAATATATGTTCTCTTCATTTGTCTCTGTGCGGGATGTGGACGAACTAAAAGAAGAATACATATTCACTCTTTCTAAAAAGTGAAAAGGAAATAAGTATAGAAAGCGTCCTGCCAATTGTCTTCCTGGAGCCCCATTGTCCTGTGAAAAGACACGCTGCTTGTGAGCCAAGTCGTCTTATGGTTGAATGGGGGGGAAAATGAACCGTTTAATAGTTTCCATCAGGAAATTCTCAGAGGAGACTAGTCATAGTTTTCCGTGTTTCTCTAAGCCTGAACAAACTGTTCTGAGCTTTTCTTTTGGGTGTAAGAGAACTAAATTTTCCTCTCCCAAACCTAACATGGCAGTCTGAATGTAATTGGCTCCCATAATCTCATAGGGAGAGGCACTATCAGGGGTGTGGCTTTGGAGGAGTGGGCGTGGCTTTGTTGGAAGAAGTGTGTCTCTATGGTGGCAGGCTTTGAGACCCACACACAAGATGTCTCAGATCACTTCCTGTTGCCTGCGCAAGATGTAGAACTCTTGTAGAGCTCCTTGTCTGCCTGTTCGCTGCCATGTCCCACCATGATGATAATGGACTGTCCCTCTAAAAGTGTAAGCCACCCCAATTAAATGTTTCCTTTGTAAGAGCTGCCGAGGTCATGCTGTGTCTTCACAGCAGCAGAAGCCCTAACTTAAGCCACCTAGTAATGACAAAGGAGATTCTTTCACTGAATAACGATTCCATCCTTCCCACCGTGATGTACTCATCAGCAAAGCCGGGCAGAATCTAATGTGAGTCCTTAAAATGTCTCTGGATTTCTAAAACTTTTACATTGAAACGAGACGATGTCTGTGCTTTCTTAACAGTCCCAACAGACTACTTCACAACTCCACCAGCTGTACGTGTCTCATCCTAATTTTTATTATTTCAAAGCTCCGATAATCTTTTTCTCTATTTTTTTAAAAAAATCCTTTCCTTGACCCAAATAAATCAACACAGACTGAAATTTAGGGAGCAAATCTGCTTTCTGGAAGTCATGACTTAAGGTTTTCAGCCCCATTAAAAGTATTTGTGGTCTCATTAAAGACCTTCCTGGTTCCGGCAGAACCCTGCCGACTTCTCCTTTCAGGCACGATGGGAGACTCTGGATTTAGCACGGGGTGTAAAGGTTATGAGAACACGCAATGCGCTCAAAGACCTCTCCAGGGTGGCTATCCTGAAGTGCCTGCCTACAGGATGTGAGAAGAAAGTCTGGCAGGTGACAACATTCACCTCAAGTCCCCCCTCACCAGACTAGTTTTAGGTGGGTCACCAAGGGAGCATTGCTCAGAAAGGCCACTCGGAGAACAATGAGGAGAAGCCTACCTTTCACTTTCCCCTCAGCCTCCGGCAGTGCATCCCAGGACACGGTGACAGCAGTGGGCTTGCCACTGACTGGCCAAACGTTCAGGTTCTCAGGCGCTGTGGTGGGAGCTAGGAGACGATGACAGGGAATGGAACATTTCACAAGGCTCTCATGGTCCTTCTGAGTGGAAGTAGAGGCAGGCCCCTCACATGCTACTAAAGACATACTTACTAAAGAGATAGTGTGCTCACACTGGTGGCACACAGGAGGTGGTTCTACACTAGCGTTTCATAGTGACTTAAGGTGTCACTTCCACCAACTCATGCGGTGAATTTAGACACATCTAGAAACAGGCTTTTAGGAATATTCCAGTTTTCTCTTCTGGACCAATATTACATCTGCAACATCCTTTTGCAGCTACAACCTTTTTTTTTTTTTCTGACAAGAACTCAGTATGTTGCCCTGGCTGGCCTGGAACTTGTAATATAGACCAGGTTAGCCTTGGATTCACATGGAACCACCTGCTTCTGTGTCCCAAGTGCTAGGATAAAATCCATGCCACCATACCCAGCCGAGAACAACCTTAAAAGACGCAGTTCTAGCTGTTGTTGAATTACAGCCTTGGCTACACAAAAGATTTTCCCCCAAACTCAGATATAACCTCAGTCTCAGGAAGATCACACAACAAAAGCTGTGCCACCCAGGGACATCCGTGGCCACAACAGCAACTTACATACTGGAACTTGGTAGGTTCAACACGCCAGAAGAACATTTTGGTGGAAATCGGCTATCAGAATACAAAGCATGGACCCAACAAAATTGCTCCTTACCCTCTCTCATTTCTCTCTCTAATTTAATAGTTCTAAACCCAAGCTCTCTCTCTCTCTCTCTCTCTCTCTCTCTCTCTCTCTCTCTCATAGTCCTAAGCCCAAACTCTAACTATCCATACAAACTCTACTAGGAAGAGACTTTAAAAACTGCCAATGCCCCCCCACCCCTGACTTCTTCAACAGTGCTAGGTCTCAGTGCAGGAGTGACCCTCGGTCGAAACGCCAAGGCTATTTCAGATACAAACCGGATTCCGGTGTTCTCTGGAAGATGGATGCACTCCACTTGCCATCTCGTTCGCCCTGTGAAATCCGGACTGCGAATTCATACACGGTGTCTGGGAGCAGGCTGTCCACCAGCACTCGCCTGTTAGACACTTGCTTGTAATCCCATCTGGCCGACTCCCCTTTCTCTCGGTAGCGCACAGTGTACTGTCTACAAGACAAGAACCCAACAACCACACTGGGGCCCAGAGTCTTGGAACTGAGATCTTTAGTCTCCTTCCGGTTTGTTTCCCCCTAGTGGCTTTTGGGAGTAAGCAGGGAGGTATGAGGGGAGGAAAAAAACGTAAACTTTCAACTGTCACTGACTCTAAGAATCTGCAGCTGGGATCCCTGGAAAGTGTATAAGTCAGACCAAGAAATATATTGCATTGTTGTCCAAGACTAAAAATGTCCCGGCATTCCAAAGATCAAACAGAGAAGACAGAAGTAAGGGGTAAAGGTAGGCAGGCAGAATTTATGAGCAACTAATTTCTCAGCGATGTGTGTGCATATGGGCTGAAGAAAGTGATAATCCCAAGAACCAGAACTGACTCCAGGTAGCCAGACACACACATGCACGCACGCACGCACGCACGCACACACGCACATGCATGAGCACACAAAAAAAAAAGTCTCATTCCATGCTCAATGGTATGGTCTGCACCAAACGTACTGATTCTCAAAAACCCCAGACAGCAGACATCCATGACACTCCCAAGGGCAGCCAACCAAGAAGTCTGGCAAGAGAAGGCACCAGCTGAAGACATGTCGCAACAATGAACAAAGCAGTCCTTCTAAGGAGAGTGTAGCTTCTTCTGGTTTCCAGCAAGATGTTGGGAACCATAGCCCAGAGGTAACCATGAGCTCTTCCAGTGGGGGGAGAGTATATGGGTAGACAAATGCAGTCACTCTTCTGAGTCCCCAATAGAAATGTGTCATTCTACCAGCAGTCAAGGCCGTCCTGTACCTACTGTGGATGGCGGTGTGTACACACAATCTGAGCATTATGTTTCTTTTATTTCAAATCGAGTCCCCCTTTCCTGCTGTAGATAGGGTCAGAACTCAGTACATAATAACCAGATCATAAACCTTTGCCTTCTTCTTGGTTGTATAAACTATCAAGTCTTGGAACACAGGAAAAAAAAAAATCTTTTATCCATACCCAGAGGGTTTCTCTGCAATGTGGCAAACCGTAAGTCCCACATAAAGACTATCCTGACTTGATAAGATTGTTTTTGTCTGTTGCTACTGCAGATATGTGAATTCTCTCCTGTGAATTACATACCCAGGCCCTGTTTGATTTGCAGAAAATAGATTTCCACAGAGTCCTGGACCATTCAACAGCAAAAGAGGGGCCATCACCCACACAGGAAAGAAAATAAAATCAGGTCGGAGAGGTGGGTCAATGGGTTCTTCCACGGGATGCGAGTTTGGTTCTCAGTACTTGCATGGTGGCTCACAGCCATCTGTAATTCCAGTTACAGGATATTTGATGTCCTCTCCTACCTCTGTGGGTGCCCATCATGCATGCATGGTACACATACACACACGCAAGCAAAACATTCATGGACAAAAAAAAGTAAAATAAATACATCTTTACAAAGTTTAAAAAGAAAATTACTGAAGTCATTCGAAGGCCAGAGAAGCTGCATTTCTCACACATAAAGATAAGAAATAAGTATGTGTACCTGGACGCGACCACTCTCTTCTGCTTTTCCACAAGAGGATCCACCCAGGCTACGAGCACGGACTGGGATGACATGACCCGGACACTGATATCTTCCGGTAGATCCAGCTCACTGTCTTCTGAAATGAGAACGGGCACACAAAAAGGCTCTGTACTGAGTTCCTCTGGCCAAGCCCCGCCTACCTTGCAGTTCCTCGTGCATCATTTATGTAAAATGAGACGGACAGAAAGCTAAGTGATTGTTTTGTCTGTACAAAGGGATGTGATGGTTTGAAAGAAAATGGCCCCCAAAGAGAGTGGCGCTATTAGGAGGTGTGGCCCCCGTTGAAGTAGGTGTGGCCTTGTTGGAGGAAGTGAGTCACTGTGGGGGTGGGCATTTGAGGTCTCTTTTGCTCAAGCTTCCCTCAGTGTGACACTCATGCAGTCTCCTTCCTGTTGATGGGAAGATGTGGGACTCGCTCTGCTATCCTCCAGCACCATATCACACCACGATGTTAATGGACTGAGACTCTGAGCCTCAGAATCTCCACCCCTGTGGTCATGGTTTCTCTACACAACTAAGACGGGGGCAATCTCCACTCTAGCTTTTCCTAACTGTTGTCTGGGAAGTATGTAGTTCACTCTAAAAGCTGCCCGAACCAGTCACACTGCAGAAGAGGTAAAGGGGTTGCTATACCTTAGTAGAAAACACCGCAGGAAACTGGGTGTGTGTGTCTCCACGCAGCCCCAGGACAACAACCCTTTCTCCTGCTTTGTTCAGAGTCTCACTTGGGACAATTAAGAGAAGGACTAGGCAGTGCCCTTCCATGGAATGATGCCTCATGCCCTCTTGCGCTGCAAAGCAACTGTGCTAGGAAGCTATCCATACTACTCAGTGAAGCAGGCTTTATCAAAAGAGTTCTCCTGCCTCTACACATGAAAGAAACATGCTCGGTCCTCTGACAGGCTGCTCTACAGATCCCTTCGTTCCCCTTGAAACCCACCAATCCCATCATCCCATCACAGCCGGCACCAGGTGGAGAACAGCGTTCATACCAGATCACGGTTTCGCCAACTGCCTCCTTGGAAACATACCTGAATTCTTGCGTTTTGTGAGGGCAGCCCTATAGACGGGCTGACTCTGCCCCTGGGAGTTGGTGGACTGCAGAGAGACCACATACACCGACTCAGAGGCTGTGGACCAAAGAGCAGGACATGGAACAGTGCCCCCATTCCTCAGGCACCTGCCTGCCCTAACAGCCTACAGCCCCTCCCCTCACCTGCCCCTGCCCCAATTATGCTAAACATTTCACTGTCTTCATTCAGTCCCCCATCATGCCTGCAAAGAGGTCCCTATCACTGTCTTTATTTCATGGGAAAGGACAGGATCAGAGAGGCAAGACAGCCAAAGCTACAGAGTAGTTGGGTCTTCCAACCAGCTCTATATGACTCTGGGTCCCGGTTCTTATTAACTTCAGCTGCGGTAGGAGCAGGCCCTAAGCAGCTGTCAGAGATACAGCAGCAAGGACCCAGCACCAGATGTGCACTTCTCTCTGCCTCCAAAGCGACACCAGCATCACCACTCAGTGACCCCAGGGCACCCCACATTCACCCCACCAATGCCATCCTTGGCTGGCTTATTTCTCTGTTGTATGAGAGCAGAATACCACCTTCCACTTCCCAAGTGCCTCCCATCTGGCATCTGCCTGAAGGTCTTCAGACTTGCTTGTCTTCCATCATTTACCGCTCCTACCTAGGGCCTGATATTGTCACCCTCTCCCTTCTGCGGTCCTGAGGTCCTTCCATTTGGGGTCCGTTGACTATCACTTCGACATTGCTGCATCTCTCAGGGATTTCACTGACATGGAAGACCACCGGTGTTTAACGATTGCCTAGGAGTGAGATGCTTTGCTGATGTGACTTCACGCCAGTCTCTAAGGTTCCCCAGTGTGTGTCCGCTTCCTGTGATGCCCCGTGGCCGGTGGCATCTCTGGGGTGAACCGTGTCAAGGTGCTGAGCAGACTCGATCACAAAGACAGGCACGGCAGACCCTGGAGAATTCCCTCACTTCCACCCTGCCCTGAAGCAAGCTTCTGCTCAGGTCTTCTCTTCACACGAACCACCATGAGAAGCTCAATCTGTTCACGAGAGGATGATTCAAAAGCTAACACATCGAGGAAGAAGCCTGAGAGGGGCCTACCCTGTGAGGTTACACTGGGCTTAGAGCTCACATATACCTTAGGTCCAAATTTGCTCAAGTTGAGGCAGCAAAAGGACAGGTTCATTATCATCTTCGGGCGAGCAGAGGTGTAGCACTAAAGAGAAGAAAAACTAGCAGGACCAGGGTGATGCCAAATTACATCGGAGTGTCTGATGGGAGTGAGACATGCATTCACACAAAAAAACGCTCCATGGGAACAACGCTCTCCCACAGTACCGGACGTGCAGAGTGTTTCTCCTTTTTGGCTGGATAGCTTGGTAGAGTTTGGTCCATATCGCCAAGCCAGAACTGAAGGGCGCACATTACGAAATCCTCAGGCAGCAAAGGGACAGCTCAGGGACAAAGGACTGGAAGTGATTCCAGATTGTTCTGTGGCTTCACGCTGAGTCTCTTTTTCTACATCTGTTCTTCACAGAGCACACCCAGCCTGGATTCTCCTGCTTCCTCTGCTCTCTCGGCAGAGGCGTGGGAGAAGAGAGCTGGCCTAAGTCTTTTGCTGGAGTCGGGGCTTTGAGACAGCTCAGAGGTTCTGCACAGCTCAGAAGCACTTGCGCCTCCTTGTGAGGACCATGTGGGCACAAAGAATACCTCTCCTGCTGGGATCACCCACTCAGGAGATTTATACACACTCTCCTGGAGTGTCCAGCAGGAGGCCGAACACCGCATCTGATAAAGCAGAGACTTCTGGGATGCTCCAGAGGGAGGAGTACAGCCATCTGCCCAGGTTCATCACCAGTTCATATCTGAGATGCTCACACGGCAGCATGGTCCAGGCAGCCAGGACTTGGGGTCCTGGGGGCTAGCAGACTGTCTGCCTAGGCTCCCTAAGGATCTATTCTTAGGTCCTTAGCAGATGAGCTCTCAAAGCAAAGCAGCCGTGCAGGCCAGAGGCTTTATTCCCCGAACTCTGTGTCCAGGAAGCAGCTCTCACCTAGGGATGTTCCCTGAGCTCATTGTGCATGGTGGCCTGGCTGTGAGCCCCTCTCCTCTACACCCCCGATTCCACGCCCACTGCCTATCTTCTGCATGCTCCCACCTATCTTGGAGAAGAACTCACCCTGTAGGACAGAGGTGCCAAGCAAGACACGCCATACCCCCTCCCCTGGGTTACACGTTTGCACTCCGCGGGCCTTTGTTCCTTCCCACCCCAGTCGCTGTTCCAACCCCAGCCTCCACGCCCCTGAGAGAAGCAAGCCTCCACCGCCCACACCATCAAGTTTGCAAGAGCCTGAAGGCACCTGGCTACACTTGAGTGAAAAGACCAGATGTCTTTCTAGAATCTTCTGAGTGGGCCCAGGAAGCCATAGCCTGTCCTTTGCCTGAGTATTGGCCCCTTGGGAAATAAAGGAAGCCTGAATCATGGGGACTAAAATACTTATCACTGGTTAAAAAGCAAAAGGCAAGGGTCTTTCCAACTATCCAACTAGCACAAATCGGATATGCTGCCAGGGTCACTGTGGACCCTTGAGTCTCTGTAGTCTGGCTCCCCCCAAGGAGGATGTATAAAGGAGCCCAGGTAGTTAGGGGACAGGAGCAAGGATAAGAGTGGCTGGTCTGTTGTCATTTCCTCGGGGGCCACAGCATCTTCTCAGAACATTGTTTGTGTCCCTGTATAGCTTGCTAAGAAAGGGTATGACCTATTAAGATGGGCCCCCCCGTATCTCCTGTTCCCAGCAAATGTCCCCAGTCCTAAGAGGCTTCACTCAGCTGTCCTAGTGTCCAATCTCAATGGGACCCAGGGTTCAGGGTCTCAGGGTTTGAAGAAAAAGCTGCGAAGAACAAAGTGATGAACACAGGACAGTGCTTTCCCTCCCTATCACACTCCACCGCTAGCAAAGCGTCCCGGCTCAAGGCATCCGTGTGTAGAAACAGCTTAGAAAGTGCGGTCCTGCCACCGAATAAAAGTTAATATGATGGAGGACGCGGCAGGATGTGACAAAGAGGTGTTGTGGTTTGAGCGAGAACTGTCCCCAAGGGCTTATGAGTTTTGGCACTTGACCTCAAGCTGGGGGCACTGTCTCAGAAGGTGGCAGATCCTTCACAGGGCGAGGCTTGCGGGAGGAAGTGTGTAGCCAGAGGCAAGCCTCCAAAGTTTTGTTGCTGGCCCCTCCTTCCTGTTCACTCTGCTTCTTGTTCGAGAAGTCCCAGCTGCACAGTCCTGCTCCCAGAGAGCCACCAGCCACCATGCCATCTGCTCTGTGTTGGGTCCCACCCCCTCAGCTATGAGCCAAAAGAACCCTAAAGCTGCCTTAGAGGGTCATCTTTTCGCAGCAAGAGGGAAAGTCGCTAATGCAATCATTGTGGCAGGAGGTACGCCCCACAGCTAAGACAGTGTCCTGTCTTGAAGGAGCTTCTGAGTACTGAAGTGAATTTCAAACTCACCGAGCTTTTTAATTTCATGTGACCTCTCATCTCTGGTCAGTGGGACGTAATTCATCTTCCGGCCACTTTCTCCATAGCCCAGAAGAAAACCCCGAGATCTGCGTGGACTCTTGGCTCCAGACAGGCGTGGTGCCTTCCATGCGACGGACAGCCTGTCGTCTGAGGCTCGGACACGCACACGCATGGGTTTGTTGGGCACTTCCTTTTCTTAAAAAGGACATGACATAGAAACGATTAAACGATGCGGCACGTGGCGCTTACATCACGTGTGTGAAATCTCTGCACACATTGAGCCTCCTCCATTAATTAATTGCTGGGCTTAAAACACTCGTTTTGGGTAAACTGCTCTGTTAAGTTCAAGGGTGTACTCTCTCCACACAGACTTCTGCTTCTTGCCAAGAGGTCTCCTGGACTTTAAATGAAAACATTCCTTGTGGTAGGGCTGCCAGCAACAGATCTTGGAGACCTTATGATGTCCCTTTTCCTCTACTTCCCCCTTTAGGCCAGACAGGCTATATACTCTTTGGTGAGGGCTAGCGGTCGATATTAAGATACAGCAGAGTCATTAGTGATATTGACAGCTGGACTCCAGGAGGCTTTTGCTCTGTCATGCTGAGAAGATGGCGATCTTTGCTCTAATGAGCTAGACTAACCAATTTCGACCTACCATCTCTATTCCCGCCCCCATGTAAGCCCTGCCCCGCAACAAATCCTGGCTATGCCCTCGCCGCTGCCAATATCCCCAGGGTCTCCGGCTTTGTTATGAACAGGTTAGCCAGTTCCCAAAAATCTCGAACTGACCTGAAATGTTCCCATTGTCAACATTCTCAAAGCAATGTTTCCCGGGGACACTAGTGAGTGTTGAGAGCTTTGGTCGGTGTGCTTACCGACACACGTAAACAGCCATTTCAGACTGTTACTCTAAAATGTCTGCCCATCCTCAATGTTGTCCACCTAAGCAGAAGACCGTGCTTTTGTGTGGTGCCTGGGGCTGCTTCACAAGCTGCTGGGTATCCCTCGTTAAAGGCATCTGAACAGTATATAAGTTGTAACAAAAGTTTTCCCCAATATACAAAAGTTTAAGCAAAATGCGATGAACATGGGACCTCTGTGAGTCCAGGGGGAGACAGTCACTGCTGTGTAAGGCCAACATTCTCAGTCTGCACTTGGTTTTCATCTGAGTCCTCTCTAGTCAAGCAATTTGAAGGAGACCGGGTGTCCCCTGAACTATTCTGTCCTTGAGGATAGCTGCCCGTGGGAATCCCCTGGCTCATTAGCAGAATTCAGAGCAGTGATAAGATGAAGACCCTTGAATTCCATGGTGATAGGATCAACAAAGGGGGAAGAAGGAAGTTCACAGGGCAGCGGGCTTCGTCAAGACCACACAGGCTTGTTGGCTGTGGTGTGCGTCCTGGAACTCCAACATATAGTAGTGCCTATCAGACATTAACTGCACAACAGCTGTCCTAATGGACCATGAGGCTCCTGCACCAGCGGTTGCCAATCTTCCTACGGGGGCTCTAGAATGCCTCCAGGCCCCCAGAATGGCTGATAACCCGTCACAACAAACAACCTACGTTAGATAGCACCTTAAAATCAGCAACAACCTCCTCCATCTGCATCCAGGTTGCCCACATCGTGCCTCGGGGTCAAGAGTAAAGTCATTCGTGTCCAGAAACAAGCAGATAAAGTCACAGGGCCATTTAGTATCAACCAGGGGTGTGAATTTGTGCATTCAGATCCTGGCCAGTACCTGGAGTCAGGAAAGCATTTTCGGGAGCAGAAGATACAATCTAAAATGCAAAACCAGGTGATAAGGAGAAAAGTCGAGGGAGACTAACCTCCACACTCCCCAGGCTCACTGATGCCAGGGAAAACATTATAGGTTACAGAAGCCAACGGGCCTTCACGAAGGACAAAAAACCAGCTTCAAACATCCCCCACAGGGCCCTTCATTCAGGTCCAGCTCACCGGGCCCATGGGATACGTCAGAGACCCTGCCTTCCTGCTTCCTCAAATGAGGAAGCTACCAGAAGGACAGGAAAGCTATGCTGCAGTCAGAAGTGACTCCACAGGCCACCACCAAGCTGCCAGCATCTACACCCTACAACTGGCTCTTGAAATCCACTAAGCCACCAACCAGGAGAGAGGCAAACACCTTGCTGTACCCTGAGGCCACTCGGGGTGCAGCACTTGATCCCTAAAAACTTTCCCTCAGAGTTTTCACAAGACAGTGAAGAAAACTATCTCAGTCCCCCCCCCCCCCCCAACCTGGAGAACTTCTGCTCCTGCCCAATCTGTTTTCTCTCAAAATCCTCAAGATCACATTTGAATTTTGCAGACTGCCACCACCAAATGTTGGTGTTTGCTTTACGATTAAAAAACAGCATTTCCAGTGCCTGATTGTGGGGACGGGACTCCCACTGGAGGTGGCCCGTTTTTCCTCATGCCTTTGAAGGGTCCTGATCCCCGAGGTCCTGGAGGCCTCAGCTCCAGTGACTCCATAAATTAAATTCAGAACGTCACTCTGTCAGTCAGCAGATGGCTTGGTTATTGAGCCCACCAGAGTTGACCATCAGAGACAGGCTCTATCAATGGCTGCACATACTTCACCACATGGAAGTGGAGCCCTGCTGTGCTGCAGGATGCCAACTCACCCACAAATTACAGAAGAGCTGACTCTGCGCAGGTCAGTGGAGAAGCCCTTGATAGGACGGCAAGAGTCAAGAGTCATCTACAACCGCCTGTGCGGATGTGTCTGCCTTTCCATGAGTCACGGGTCTTCCCTGGGACTCCCACTCCGTAGACAAGGCTATTGTCTAGGCTCCCTTCAGTGGCAGCGGCTTATCCAAACACTCAGGAAACCAATGCCAGATGCTAATAGCCATGTGGTTCTGATGGCAACATCACATCTCACTTGTAAAAGGAGCTCGGGGTTAGCTCCTGCCAAGTCCAGCCCAGTGGATCCCATTTCGGAGTCCCCCTAACACAGGTGAAAGGGTCGCCAGCTGTGAAGGTTCCCTGTGCTCCTAATGGGTGAGTCAGACCCCACAGCTACCCTGGATCCATCCGGTGGTGTGTTGGTGGTTCATCCGAGGCTCCTCGGGACAGTGCAGGGCCAGCCTCCTAGACTGTGGAGTCTAAGAGGGACCCCTGTGAAATATTCTAGAGAAAAGCATGTCTCCTTTCAAAGGTTCGCTTTGGTCTTTTGGTTTTTGTTTGTCTGTTTGTTTGCTTGTTTTTTTTTTCTTTCTGGAATGGTTTTAATGGAAGTCTTCTTGCATTTGCTTCATCTAGGGATTGAATGGAGAACAAGGCATGTGTTTTCTGAAAATGAGAGGCCTGGTCTTACTGAATGGATGCTTCATGTCTTCAGCCTGTTGCCTTTAGCTGGTCCCCCATTTGTAAAACAACCCAACTGTAACTTATGAATAGCTTGATAAGAAGGAGGCCTAGCTTTCCATGACTACCATATTTTTCAGGGTCCTAGAAAAATATGTTGGCTTTTATTAAACTATAGAGGTCCTTCTAGAACATTTGTTCAAGGCTGCATGGGCAATGACAACCCAGTCTCTCTGGCTTTTAGGCACACTGGCCCTGCCCTAGGCGTAGCCACTCACATGGCAAGAACCACGAGCCAAAACAGACCTCTCTCTTATTCTAGCCTCAGACATTGTGCTTTAACCACAAAAGAAACAACCAGATGAGCAAGACAGCAAAAGGTTAAACTGTTTTTTCATGATATCATGGTTATTTCCGTGTCAAAGTATTTGTGCAACGGTATGTGTCAACCTTTTGAACCAGGCATCGGAGAGGCTGCTGGAGGGAAGGCTCCAAAGAGAACTCCAACCCCAGATTTGCCCCGCTGATTCATTGCGATTTAAAGACAGTCTGGGAACGAAGCCAGTCTTCAAAAGAAGGGGTGACTTGGCTTTCCCCCAAAGCAGGGAGGAGAGATGGAAGTCACCTAAGGAAGATAAGTGATGTCACTCGTTTATTCCCAGTGGAACAGGGAGCCAGCGCACCCGGCAGAAGGGAGGAGAACACAGACCAGGAGAGAAGCTTATGAAAGTGGCTACCTTTTGCGACAGCCATCTTGGAAGAGCAAAAAGTAGTTGTTGAAGGGCAGGCAGATTCACTGAAGCAGAGGGCCCAGCCTGAGAAGCACAGCTGTGATGGTTGAGACAGCACAGGTTGGCTTAGCTCTTTATTTCTCTCCTCTGGTCTGACTATTAGAGGCCAAAGAAGGAGCACCAAGCAGCTGAGTGGTCCTGGTGGGACCAGAGAAGGCATTTCAGAGAGGGGAGATCGTTTGAGTGCATGTCTGGGTTGAAGCAGAGGAGAAACAAGCCAATGGTGGCCTCGGGACTCTGCGGAGGGGAAAGGCCTGCAGAGCCCTGAGCCTGACAAGGTCTGGAAGTAAGCTCATGGTGTGTTGGATAGAAGAAACAATGTATCTGGGTTAGAAGAAACAATGTATCTGGGGTAGAAGAAACAAGGTATCTGGGGTAGAAGAAATAATGTATCTGGGGTAGAAGAAACAATGTATCTGGGGTAGAAGAAACAATGTGTCTGGGTTAGAAGAAACAATGTATCTGGGGTAGAATAAACAAGGTATCTGGGTTAGAAGAAACAAGGTATCTGGGGTAGAAGAAACAATGTATCTGGGTTAGAAGAAACAATGTATCTGGGGTAGAAGAAACAATGTATCTGGGGTAGAAGAAACAATGTATCTGGGTTAGAAGAAACAATGTATCTGGGTTAGAAGAAACAATGTATCTGGGTTAGAAGAAACAATGTATCTGGGTTAGAAGAAACAATGTATCTGGGGTAGAAGTAACAATGTGTCTACGTTAGAAGAAACAATGTGTCTGCGTTAGAAGAAACAATGTATCTGGGGTAGAAGTAACAATGTGTCTACGTTAGAAGAAACAATGTGTCTGCGTTAGAAGAAACAATGTGTCTGGGTTAGAAGAAACACGGTATCTATTCTGACAAAGGGGGAAGTTCAGAACTCCTGCTTGAGCAAGAACCAACCTAACCCTAGGTCTATGGCAAGACCTAGCAGTCAGAAACTAGGAGGTGGGGCTAGCAAATGGGCCAAGCAAATGGACCATCATCATGGAGATTGATATGGCCCAGGCTGCCTAATGTGTAAGACATACTTCTACATATATGCCGGCATGTTCCGGGACTGGGGGAGCAGCTGAAAGGCCAGTGGCTATAATAAAAGGGAATGTCTGGACCACAGTGCTGGTGGCAATGGCCAGAAAGGAGTGGTGTACACCACACCCAAATTAGGTGAAGCTATCACTGAACTATTGAAAGCCTAAAGAACCTTCGTAATACAATGCAAAGACGTCATGAAGCAAGACTCAGACTTTGTTTCAGTTCTGGATCCAATTCAGCTCCACAACTTGAGGTGGGGGGGGAGCACAGAGGACTGGATTTGTTGGAAGCTATAAAAATTAGATATGAGCATACTCTGCACTAAAATTAACTAGTCTGTCACATGGTTTTCCAAGATGAAATTTGGCAAAGGAAGAATACCTACCCCGGCTGCTCACTATCAAAGCTGGGACACAGCACAGTCCTGACCCCAGAGGCCTACCTCTATGTGACTTGGTTACTCGGGAGCCAGCTGCTGAAAAAGCTAATACAGCAAGCAGCAAAGAATTCCAAAATAAATGATAGACACCAGTGTTCTAGAAAACAAACAGACTCATGACATCACTTCTCTGCGATGTGAAGAGGGAGAGACAGGCTGACATCCCAGAAAGTGGGTTCGGCATAAAGAACAGAGGAAACATTCAGATGGGTTGGAAGAAACTGGGGATACTGCCCAGGAACTGTGTTTTTGCTTAGTCTGTTGTTTCTGAGTCCAAACTTTTCGTATTTGTATGAGCGACCAGACTCAGTCACTTAGTTCCCATCCAAGCTCCAGGACACTCCTCCTCCTCCTCTTCCTCCTCCTCCTCCTTCTCCTCCTCCACCACCTGGTATTACTTCACCATCTCAGTTTGACGATACCATCTTATCACCAGGGTTCCCCATCTGCTTATTCAAGGTTACTGTACAGTTTATTTCTTTCATAATTTGTGATTATTTTATTCTGTCCTCTCAAAATTCACATATTGATGCCTTAGCCCCACAATCTCAGAAAGGGGCTACATTGGGATATAGGGTCCTTCAAGTGATGGTCACATTTAAATGAGGATATCACGGATACCCTCATCCGACCCAACTGGTGTCCTTTCAGAAGGAAGGGGTAGAGATTCCCAGATGCTTGCTGTCTCTGGCATGAGAGAGAAGGAAATCTGGGTGAAGACAGAAAGAGGAGGAGACCATCTGCAAACACAGAGAATCCTCAGGGTTCAATCCTGCTCACACTGTACTCTTAGACCTCCACCCTTGAGCATTTTGTTGTGTGAGCCCTCCACATCCCCAATGGTGGCGGCCCTAGCCAACACCAGTCTGCCGCACTGTGATTCACTTAGCTGCTTCCTGGTTTTATTTCCCATTAGTGTGCATATTTCGTGCCAATGAGCCCTCCTCGTCCATCTTGTCCCCGGGTCTAGAGACCTCTGGATCCTATGCCTGCAAAGCCACGGGCACTGGAGGGAGAGATTAACAACTAAAGTTCTATTTTTAGGTAAAGAATATTTTCATCTGATAGGTCTAAGCCAGCAAAAGGAGGCCTTCTAGAATTTGAAGTGAAACCCTTGTTTTCAGCTGATTAAAGAATGGACTCTCCCTTGATTTCAAACAGATCACTGGTGGAATTCCAGACACTCAGCAGAAGGACCAACCAACTTCCTGCAAGGCCTTTTGCCCAGTGCTGGTGCTGAGGTTGCATTATCTATTTCTGTTTTTAAAGGCAAATGTGGTCCTGTGCACACAGACCTGGCACCATTCTGAATGCCTCTTTTATTTGTCTGAATTGTTATCCACTTAACCATTGCCCTGAACAAGAAATGGCTTTTTTTTTTAAGCCAGGCAGTAGTGGTGCACACCTTTAATCACTCAGGAGAGAGAGGCAGGCAGATCTCTGTGAGTTCGAGACCAGCCTGTTCTACAAGAGCTAGTTCCAGGACAGCCTCCAAAGCCACAGAGAAACCCTGTCTCAAAAAACCAAAAAGAAGAAGAAGAGGTGGCTATTTTTTTAAGTCTCAAAAACAAAAGATATAGGTACCATGACAATCAGTCATGGATAATTTTCTACAAATTCTTATTATTTTCATTGACAATGAAATGTCCTGGATACAATGAGTTATTCCGTTAGTGTTTGAGGTGTGGCCTACATCATATGCTACAAGTCCAGCTAGGGATCTCTTCTAGTATCTGTTATTCATTATGAATGGCAAACAGAACACATGTGTTCTAACAGAGCACTTTGCCAAAAGCTCCTATAGAAAGAACCCGAATGATTTCAGGGTATATAAAAGCAACAATGAGTTAGAGCATCAACTTCTTTGATTCCCAAGCCCTAATCTGTAACACTCGGGAGGCCATGTCACACATGTACAGACATGTTCACATCCATACTTTCAGACGTACGCATACACTCCCACTAAAAGTGGCAGAAGAAAGTGATTGTCTATGAAAAAGCAAGAAAATTCCTAGTTCTAAAACTTACGTCAGATCAAAAGTATAAAATAAACACTTAAAAATACAAATATGAGGTTCAGACACAAGACACATACACCAGTGGGTAAAATGTTTGTGTCTGATTGGTTGCATGTTAGTCTTCAGGAGTAAACATGTCTGACATACACATCCTTTCCTATGTTGCCTTATCTTTCATGTGTAGTAGTTCCCCTACCATCCAAAGATTTCCCAGGTTCAATATAAGCAACTGTATCCTCCAAAAAAATTAAGTGGAATATTCTAGGAATAAACAATTCATAATGAAAATGTACATTGTTCTGTCAAGTGTAATGAACTCTCCCATTATCCTGCCCAAGACATAAATGATGCTTTCATCCAGTTTATCTATTGTGTACATACTGGCCCATTGTTTACTACCTTGCATCTTTCTGAGTCATCAAATTGGCTCTTGCAAATAAATATCTGGGTCCTTTTGTTCTAGTAGCATCTCCTTATACATAATATCCTACTATTAGTATCACCGTGCCTAATTTGTGTTACTTTATCACCTGCATGTTGTATCAGCTCGTATTCCTACCCTGAGAAGAAGAATAAATACAATACAGCAAGTTACTCTAAGAGGTGTGGGAGAGGGCAGCCACGTTCATGTTACTGTTATTGTGCATGGTTAAAACTTTTTTATTTATTATAGTTAGTGTTAAAGACTTATTGTACTTAACTTCCAATTTCTAAATGGCAGTAGATATGTAAACAGAGGGGAAAGTAGAATCTGTGAGTTCAGGTTCTGCTAGGAACATGCTCCCTGCAGATAAAGGAACTTTCTCTATTGCCAGTGTGTGCTAAATTTAAACCCTGGTCCCTTTTCTTCTCTCTCCCAATCCTCTCCACTCCAATACTCTCTGTATAATTCAATTCTCACTCTGTAGAATGACTTCCAAAATCATATCTAACTCCTATTCCCTCTTCCAGCCCTTCAACTCCACTCGGCTACAAAATGTTTTCCCGGCAGCAGCCCATAGTTTCCCCAAGCCCAGCACACCTGAGAGTAGAGCACATTGCCTCCCCACTAGCCAGCTTCTTTAGCTCATTGTTTTGGATAAAAGACTCTGACAACCGTCTGCCCCAGAAATACTGATTTGAGAAGCCTATCGTAGTCATTGGTTTTAACATATACTCACCTTTCTCTGAAAAACACCACCAGGTCAATGGGCTTCAACACATGGTGCACAAAAATAGAGCATAGCTCTTTGCCCCTTGCATTTGGGTTATGACCCAACCACATTCTGAAATAGTGGCATTCTTGTGCATTTTTGTTGTTGTTACCATCAATTAAATGCCATCAAGTAACAGCTCGTAAGAAATAGCTACTCTTCTGTCAGTAAGTGAAACGATATGATCAGACAACACCAATGTCTACACGGTGGCACACACATACGCAAATATGGGGCAGAGATGGAAGGCAGGGATCTGGCAAATCACAAAATATTCCAGAGGATTCCAAGAGAAGTACAGGACTTGAGGACACACAGTGGCCGATGGGAGCCATCGTCTTTAAGGGTCTCGGTCAATTACACTGTTCACAGATGAAAGGCTATGAAATTTCTACCTGGGACAGTTCTACCATCTCAGCCACCACATTTGCTTGTCAGCAGGTGACAATCTCTGGATGTAAACACAGACGCTGCCCACATGGGGACGGGAAGGCACAGGAAGCCACAAACAACAGCAGCTGCGGTCTGGGCCACCAGCATGTGCATTAGTTTAGCGATGGGGACAAGATGAAGGCTTGTGAGCACATGTGTGTGACAGAAGCCCAACCCTCTTGGGAGATGTGGCTTCAGTGAAGACAAGAGCCAAGTGAGCACAAAGTACCTGTGGCGGTCTCATTAAATGGTCCCGGACCCTTAATGGGAAAACCATCACTCTTGATCCATTCACCTCCTAGATTGGGGAAATGCAACTGGGTAGTTAGAAACAAGGTCTGCGGGCTTCTCAGAAGTTCAGAGCATCCTAGTCAAATGGTCTTTCAGAAGGGTGTGCTCAGGCTGTGAACAACGCCATACCTAAGCTTTAGGGACAACGCAATGAGCTGTAGGGTCTGCACACGGCTAGTTGAGCCATGGTGGAAAACACCAGGCAAAATGTTTATAAGCTGCACCAAAACTATTTCCAAAACAGGGGTGGGGGGAACCAAAACCAAAACCAAAACCACACACACAAAAGACCCCTCTCTCCTAATTTTCTGTGTTTGATCTTGCCATACAAGCCTACATGTTCGTGATTGTTCAGGGATCGTTTAGTCATTCAAATTTTAACTTTTAAGTTCTGTTTATTGATTGATCCATGCCGTGCATGTGTGGATCAGAGCACAACTTACAGAAGTCGGTTATCACTTTCCCACTGGGAGGGCTCTGGGGATCAAACTCAGGGTGTCAGCCTTGGTGGCATGTGGCTTTACCCACAGAGCCACCTCACCAGTCCAACAATTCTTCCTGTCCTTATTGGTGTGAAGAAGCAAGGAGAGAGGCTCCCCAGTCTAATCAGCAAAGCCTAGCCTCCCGTTACAGGTCAGACTTACCGGGTGGGCTCTCGGCTCTGTAAACGGGGCGGCTCACTCCACTGTGGTTCTCTGCAGTAACCAGCACAAAGTACACCACCCCTGGCTCTGAAACACACGGTTCGCATCAAACCACTGTCTCAAGCCTCCAGAAACACACACTTCATTCATTAACCACCTCACTTACACCACTTATAACCAAATATAAAAGGCCAAATACAGTAGCAAGCCCAACAGTAGCTTTCTCTTCGGTTTTATTAAAAATCGCTAACTTTCTCCCCCAGGCAGGAGAAACATGGCTGACCCTAAGAGCATCAGCTTCATTTAGTACAAGGTGCAGGCAAGTGTAACCAACCTGGATTCCTACGCCACTGATGACAGAAAATGTGAGGTTTTTAATGTGAACTCAGGAGAGGAATTGGGACTCACTGACCACATGGTATCCAAACACAGTGTCACAAATTGCTAGCACTGCCCATGGAAGCTTCAAATGGAAAGATCCAAGGAGAAAATAATAATAAATAATTATCAATGAAACTCATAAAATCTTTGTTGCTCCACATAAAGCTTCATGGAATTTTTCTTTTGCACAGTAAAATGTTCCCCAGGCTATGTCTGCCTGTGGTTTTTGACTGCTCAAAAAAAAAAAAAAAAAAAAAAAAAAGGCTAAAAAAATATTTCCCGGAATTCTGAAAATGCTAATCTTGAAATAATTAGGTTTTGCCTTTTTACTTTGGTCTCAGGGTCAAGGCAAGTAGCAGAGGTCTCTGTGGCTGAACCCCTGAAGCTGCTGGGATTCAAAAGGAAACCGATAGGGTCAGAATCAAAAAGGACACATCCCGGACTTTAGAGTGTTCAGAACCAAACTAAACAACACCAGTTTTCCTCAAATGGATGATTGTGTCTTGACAGGTAACAGGGGGGCAATTCCCTACAGAGCATGGGCAGAAATGAAGGGCTGGAGAGGGGTGTCTGCCATGTTGAAAACACGAGCAGTCACGGCATTTCTCAATGTCGGGGGCCATTCTTCTAAACAAAACCTCATTCAGTCCTTGAGCCAGAAGATCAAGACCATCTGGGACACCTGCTTTGCTCAAGCCTGACTTCTGTCTCTCTGTGGCAGAAGCTGGTGGCATTTAGGGTCTGGCACAACCTGCCGAGCCAATGGGAAAATGTTCCAGGCCCCAACAGGATACAGAATTATGCTTTGCCAGGCTTTCTGCACTCTGGACTCATCTGAATTCCCCAGCAGTGGAGGCCACATGTCTCTGACTCCCTTCCAGTTAACTCGTGATTTACTTGGGAGACCGTGTAGTGGGTGGTACAGCTTTTTATCATGTGTTTTTCTTCTCCACAGCAATCACAACAACCCAGCATTTAAGCAAATATGGCCCTGCTCATGCCTTTGGCCTGATAGCATCTACGCTTAACCTCACAGCTGGACTGGGGGTGGGAGCCACAGGGCTTCAGAGGACTGTGTGTTTAGATGGAGGTGGGCAGAAGGGAAGCGGTCTGTTTTACACATTTTCTGTTCAGTTACCCAAAGAATGCAGTGGTCCCCAGCAGAAGGTGAGGAGTAAGTCCAGAGACATAGCCAGGGGCAGTCTAGAGTTCATGCCAGGCTCTAACATGGCATGAAGGAGGCTGGTGTTCTCCAGCCGGCTCAGGGGCATCCTTGTGCTCAATCTCAAAGTTGTAACCTAACATGATGGTAGAAATTTTAGCAGGAGAAAGGACGGTTCAGAGGCAGCATCCCAAAGTCAGAACCCAGTCTCGCTAGAGCTCTCCCTGTAAGACAAGCCCACTGAGGCAAGACTTAAAGTGTCCCCAGCTTCCACAATCAACTGAAAATAAAGTTTTGGTTTCAGCAAAGGTTATACTCTCCTCATGCCTGATCTCCTATGTGACTTTGCCAGGACATGATACAGTTAGACGTTGGGCAACTTGGGAGCTAGGGGCCCCAGCCACTCGCAGGTCAAAACCTGCAAATAAAAACTCTGACCCTCCCAAAATCTTAGCTACTGAGAACTTGCTGCTGCCTGGGAGCCATGTGGACAACGGGAGTCAAGTAATACCTATGCCCATATCATATGGATCATATTGAATTAATGGTAAATCAGTTATAACTTTTTTTTTTTTAACTGAGATGCATGATTTACCAGGGAGATGGACCTCTCACAGGCAAGGGTGGGTGACATCGTTGGAGCTTGTTTTCTGCAGTCATGATTTAATGCTGCAGCCTTTGTTTATACATCTCTCAAAGACAAGGAAAGTCTGTTCTAGCATCATTTCTGTTGCTGCGATGACACACTCTGACCCAAAGCACGTAAAGGTCATACTCCATCATCGAGGGCTATTGGAGCAGGAACTCAACCAGGCACTCAAAGCAGAGACTCTGGGCAAATGCTGCTGGCTGGCTCACTTTGCAGGGCTTGGCTTTTTTCCATGGCTCAACTGCCTAGGGATGTTGCTGCCCACTGTGGGCTGGGCCTTCCCTTACCAGTTAAAACCCAAGACAGTCTCTGGTAGGCATGCCTACAGGCCGGCATGATCTTGGCAGTTTCTCAGTTGAGGCTGTACTCTAGATGGTAGCATGGCTTCTCCTCTTAAAGAGTCTAGGTTGTGCTGGGCTGACAGTTAAGGCTGAGACAGGTGCCACGTGAGGTCGTTTGCTTGTGTAATTGATAAATGCTAACTTCAAACAGATCCGTACATTACGTCACAGAAGCACGTGGTAATGCAGAGCTGTTTACATATTTTACACATTGTGACTCACCCAACCTTTTCATGATATGGGGAGGCTTTGCAGCTCTTCAGCAATTTTCCCCAAATGTCACAAATCCCCCCCCCCCACCAATCCACATATGAGCAGACCCACACCATTCAAAGCAAAGTTGTTCGGGGGTCAGCTTTGCTTGATTATTAAATGGCTGATGAATGGGAAATGCTCACATTAGGCTATTAGACCATCTAATAGTCAGGTTTCCACAAGACCAAAATAAATATATAATTAGTAAATAAATAAATAAACCTTCTATTTCGTTTTGAGGTTAGGAATGCTTGAGTTGAGTGTGAGGGCAAGAACCCTCAGAATAACTTTATAATGAGTCTCAGAATTAGGCTTCCCATTTTCCAGAGAATCCCTGTTAGCCAGGGCCAGCCACACCCCATCTTGCAGACAATTAATCCTAAGAACATAGCTGTAAATGCTGACCCACAGTGAGCCGTGAAGAGCGTGTCACTTACCCACGTCCTCAATAAGGAAGGAGTTTGTCTCCGCGTTCACCTTGATGTACTTAAGACTTTTCAGTGACTTCCCATAGGCAATGTTGTAATGCTCCACGGGTCTACTGGTAGCATCTTTGGGTGGGTCCCATGTGACCTTCAGGCCCATTTTAGTGGACAGCAGTTTCACATGCCTTGGCTTCAGTGGGTGCTCAACTATACAAACAGTGAAACTGTGAACTTTACAGCATGGCAGACTGCGAGAATAATCCTTTGAACGCTCCCTGATATTGTTAGCAAGCGTCATTTACATAAGAATTTAAGTGCCGCTTGACCTGTCTGATCCTAAAGACTTGAGTGCAGTCATGTTTGCACATCATCACAGCACTGCATCGGAACAAACACGGCAATCCTACATGGGGTTCTGCTGTTTGGATAACTGTGGGTGGTAAATTTAAACCAAACGGGAAGAAAGTCAAAACAAACCCTAGGCCTTCCTTGCCTTGATTGTGCAGACATGCTAGAGCAAGCAAAACAAACAAGTAATTTTATACATTCTCCAGAAGCAGTTGTCCACGACGTATGTTCCTGGTGTCCTGTATGTTAAGTTGAACAAACTTAACATGCCTTAAGCTTTGGAACACCTCGAAGAAGGCGTTATGGCCAGGGTTAGGAAGAACATCCACATACTCAAAGTGAGGAGACAATATTGTTCGTTTCCACAAAGAAAACGAACCACGGTCAGAATGGGTTAAAGGGTGTGTAAGACTCTGATTTTATCTATGTATACTTTATTTTTAAATTGTTCTATGTTTTCCCTGAAGAAAAAAAAATTAATAGAGTGTTAAGAGGGACCATCGTGAAGATGGAGAGATGGCTCAGTGCTTACGAACATGGCTGCTCTTGCAGAGGACAAATGTAGGTTCCCAGCACCCACGTGGTACATGGTCATCTATAGCCCCAGTTCCAAAGGATCGAGCACCCACTTCCGGCCTCCACAGGCATGGCATGAGCATGGTGCACTTGCATAAATGCAAACAAAACAGTTATACACATAAAATAATTGTTAAAAGTACCATTGCATCTTCAATGATGAGGTCTTAAAATTTCCTTCATTTCCAAAATTGCCAAGCTAATACATAACATTTTACCCAACAAAATCTCTCAGTTCCCTGCTTAACTGGAGCTGGAGTGCAAGATTGTGGTAACATGTGCTAGATATTCACATAGCAATTGCAACAGCCAAGCCAATTTTCAGTTAATTAGGATAATAAATTGACTGCCTATTCAGTAATATGAGGCACTTTCAGAAAAGACTAAAAATAAAAAGTAACCAAGTCGTGGGGGGGGGGCTTAATTTTAATAACATTTTAAGAAGTGCACTTGGAATCTCATAGAGGAAGGGGAAGATGTTTTCATGAGGACACACACATGGGTTAGCATGTGATGTTGATACCAGTGAAACCTCTGAACAGAACACACGTGACTGTAACATTCACCACTCATCCACCCACAGAACACTGCCCCCACTGCCTCTGGAGGAAAGCATGTTGGGAGAATTCACAACATGAGTAAAGAGATGGATTTGCCTCCTTTTGAATCATTAGAGGAAGGATGTTCACTCTGGGAACAAAAAACAAGATGTTAGATGATGTTCACTGACCACAACCCACAGAGGACCCCTTCCAACTCCGCATATGAAGCTCCCGAAGCACCATGAGGGAGAAGTCACAGGTAAACCATCTTCGAACCATAGGGACAGAATGTCAGCTTCTTCCTGGGCAGGAGAAACCAGCCACTTCATCGTTGCCACCTAGAAAGGAGAGTTGTCTATAGATGCTCACTTTATTCCCCTGTCGTGCCTCTGTGTTAATCAACTTCTTGTCGCTCTTATAAAATATCAGAGAGTCAACTTAGAAACAGGAGTGTTCTGATAGCATGACGCTGCTGAACTACCACACAGAGGCCCTTATTTGTTTATTTATTTAAATATGCATTTATTTATGGCACCAGGGATCGAATCTAGGGTCTGCACATCCTGGCAAGTGTTGGAGAATATTATTTTCAGGTGTGTTACATTTGTTTACGCTCTGGAACATTTGTTTGATGATGTAAAGATGTGTTGCTTTTGTTTATGCTGCATTTCTTTAACTCTGTGAAGCTGTGATTCTTGGCCTTCTAAAACACCTGATGGTCTAATAAAGAGCTGAACGGCCAAAAGCAAGGATAGGTGGGGATGGCAGGCGGAGAGGATAAATAGGGAGAGAAATCTGAGCGGAGAAAGAGAACAAGGAGAGGACACTAGAGGACAGCCCCGCAGCCCCCTGCAGCCCCCCGCAGCCCCGCAGCCCCGCAGCCCCGCAGCCCCGCAGCGCCAGCCACAGAGTTAAGAGTAAAGTAAGATATAGGGACGGAAGAAAAGAAAAGAGCCCAGAGGCAAAAAGTAGTCAGGATAATTTAAGAAAAGCTGGCAGGACACAAGCCAAATTAAGGTCTGGCATTTATAAGAAAAATAAGTATCCATGTGTGATTTATTTGGGAGTTGGGTGGCAAGACCCCCAAAAGACCAAAGAATAAAGAATAAAAAGATTTAAAAGAAGTATTAAAAAAACAACTACAGACAGGAACTCTACTACTGAATTATATTTGCAATATGTGATACATATGTATACACACACACACACACACACACACACACACACACACATTTGCACACAGGTTCGTCCTAACATCCTGTAGCTCAGGCAGGCCTTGATCCCAGTCTCCTGCCTCAGCCTCCCAAGTAACTGGGGCTACAGGCCAGGCTCTTCATCTGTCCCCAACAGGCAGTTGGAGCACAGAGCTTTTTAAAAAAAAAAATCATTTCCTATACATTTCTCCTGGGAGGGCACTGGTAAGCTTTGATGGCCATCTGTCCCAGGAGCTCTGTCTCTTAGCAAACAGACAAACTCAAATGTCATTATTTTTTGGGTGTGTAATGGGGGGGGGGTGGAGACAGACAGATGGGATCCTAACAAGCTACTTTTCATCTCCGAGGCTTGCTAAGTGAGGAAGTGCTCTTAAGCTTCAGCTGGAGGAAAGGATTCAGGGTTAAATTAGAAGAATTTTCTGTCTGAAACCTGCCTTTCCCGCATTCCCAGGCTGGTACTTCATCCCGAAGCAGCCAACGCTAGCCAGCCAGGGCTCCAGCAAAACCATGCCAGTATTTGGTGCCAGTAGATTTTGTCTAGACTTGAGAACATTTTGCCAGTTACTAAATAGCAAAACACCATTCTGATCATTTTTCAGGTAGCCACCCAGTGCCATACTTCTGTACCTCAGCTGCCACAAGATGTCCACGTGCTCATTTAGGAATGGTCCTTAGTCCTCACATCCCAAACCTCAAGGCTTTCCCAAGAGGACTGTTGGCTTCAAACATCAAAGAGAAGACCCTGGGAGCCAGTGTGGTTCAAGTATCAAACTGTCACTGGTCGAGGCAAATTCTAGATTCCGATGGCACTCCTACAATGACTGTCCTTGGGAAGTCTTCAGTTTCCGAGAACAGACCTCAGAGAATCCCCAGAGTTAATGCACAGCCTTAAACCCAAGCCAGAGCTAAATCCTTAGGGCCAGCCTGGCCAAGATCTACAGTGTCCATTCCGGGGTGGGCATGGCCGAGCTGCTGGCTGGGCCCCTCTCTGCCTTCCTGCTCTGATGCATCTCAGCATCCATCATTAACCACGCCCAGGCAATGGGTGAAGGTATGTGTGATAATCACATCAACCCAGCTGTCTCCTACCAAATGCCTACAAGGGTCAGGAAGGTGTAGCAAAGGGCATGTGTGGATTCGAGGTCACAGTCTAGCTTCAGACATGTGTTGACAACACAGACCTCAAGCTCCATAGTGGCAGGTTCTCAGGGACCCTTTCCTAGGAGGACAGAAATCATTTCAACTCTGCACTTTATTTATTTGGGGCGGGGGAGAGACAGGCACATACAAGCCATGGGGCATGTGTCAAGGTCAAAGAGCAATTTGCAGGAGTCCTTTCTCTCCTTCCAACTCGTAGGATTGGATTCAGGTCAGGCTTTGTGGCGGCACCTTTACCCACTGAACTATCCTACCAGCTCCAAGACAGAAATCTTAGTTTTGGGTTAAATATCTCGATTTTATGCATATAGCAATTAATTCCACTCTTAAAAACTGTGTGGTGGCACGCGCGCACATGCGCGCGCGCACACACACACATACCACACACACGGGTCAGTAGGCCAGAGCAGGCCCACTCATGGCTATTCAGCAACCTCTACCTTGACCCGAGGAGAGATCTTCTTGTTGCTGACCCAGACGACCTCCCAGCGTCCTTTGACCCTTTGCAGCACAGAGATGCCTCTGTGAGCGTGGGCCCACGAGGAAAGACAAGGGATGAGAACTAAAGAACAGAGAAGTTGGCGCAACTCACCACCTGTGATAGGGGATGTATAGATCAGCCCATTTATCACATTCCACTCCAGACATCCCTCCCTTCCCAAGAAACCCAGATACTTTGACCTGGGCTCTATACGTTAACAGAGATGGGGGGGCAGAGTAGGGGGTAGAGAGGGTGTGGGTTGCCAGCCAGGCAGACACAATCTGCCTGTTAAAGGACAACCCTGGTTCCTCTTCTGAAGTTTCTCAACCTCAAGGCTCCACAAGAGGGCCTTACCACCGATGACGTTGGTTCTCTGGGGCTCTGACTCTGGGGATGTGAAGTATGCCCTCATAAAACACCACGGGGAGCTTGGCATGGTGGCATGCCCCTTTAATCCCAGCACTTGGGAGGAAGAGGCAAGTGGATTTCTGTGAGTTCAAGGCCAGCCAGGGTTACATCGTGAGACCCTGTTTGGAAAAACCCAAAATACATACATACATACATACATACATACATGCATGCATGCATACATACATGCATACAAAGCCAAGTGGTGGTGGTGCACGCCTTTAATCCCAGCACTGCAAAGAGAGAGGCAGGCCGATCTCTGTGTGTTAGAGGCCAGCCAGGTCTACAGAGTTCCAGAACAGCTAGGGCTACATAGCAAGACCCTGCCTCAAAAAACCCAAAACAAACAAATACATGAAACACCACACGGAGTTGAAAAAGCTTCACTCAGAAAAAAAATCCGACCCCACCACAGGGAAGCCACGCCGTATGTTTGAAAGAGAAACATCAAGATGAGCAGATGTCCTGGGTCCCCTGCAA